CTGAGAAACGTTTCCCTGTGTCCTGTGGCATCTTCCTGCTGCCACTGGGCCCCACACTCTCCCCTAACTGCTCCAGCCCCTCCTTCCCCTCCCTCCCGCCTCCCCCCCTTCCCCCTGCTGCAGCCTGGGTTGCTGAGTAGTGGTTCCCTAATCAAAACCACCCTCTCAACTCCATCTCTGTAACCCAGACAGCTGGTTGCTCACCCAAACCTCCATCACCCCTTGCCGCCATAGTTACCTCTGAGCAGGGCTGCCTCCTTTCATGGAGGACCATAAAAAAGCCAAAACTAGGTTTTAAAAAAAATGGGGGGGGGAAGGGGCTGGGCGACACCCAGCTGTGCTCTGGCTCACTCCTGGTGGGGCTTGGGGGACCTTATGGGGTACTGGAGGTCAAACCTGTGTCAGCACACGCAAGGAAACACCCTGCCCACTGTATGTTGCTTCAGCTCTAGCTCTTGCCACTGAAACGTGAGCAGAAAGGAGAGGAATCAAGCCTGAGACAAGGTTTTAAAGAGCTGAGTTCCCGGGGTTGTGCCTGCTGGGGAGAGAAGCCTCCTCGCAGGGGTGAGGCAGAGAGTTTGGCCCCCTGGCACCACCCCACGTGCCTGGAGTGATCCCAGCAGCACTGTCATTTGTGATTCCTGGTGTCATAACAAAAATGTGTGTGACCCGCTGGTGATCCCTGCTGATCCCATACTCAAGGGTGTGTGATTTCCAGTCATCATAAGAAGAAACAGAGGGAAGGGAAGCAGAAAAATTAAAAAGAAACAGGACCCAGAGGAACAACTCAGTGGGGTCATGAGTTCAAATCCTTGGTGTTCCACATGTGCCGTATGTGATCCTAGCAGCTTGGCTTGGCTGTCTGTGACCCCACATACACACATACTGTAAGTGATTTTGGGGTGCACCCACAGCCAGGCGTGCGTGAGCACTGCCAAAGAGGGGCATGATCCTTGGCAAGCACCGCAGCTAAAATGAAGAGGTCAGGAAGGGGCCTTGAGATGCACATTGCAGCTTTCACTGACCTCAGAGAGCCGCGAGGCTAAGGGGAAGCCCCCAAGCTGGTGTGTGGCACCTCATGAGGGTCCCAGCGAACCATGGAGCAAGCTCCGTTCTGCAACAACACAGGCAACAAAGAGGGAAGGGAGGCAGAGATGGAACCCAACACTGTCGGTCTTTCCAAATACATTCTCAAACCTGACCAAAAAAGAAAAGAATCACATTCTCTTTTCTGCTCCAAACAGATGATCACAGGGTCCAAGCAGGAGGGGCGGAGGGAGCCACCTGGTGCTTGAGGAGACATTTGCTTTCAGGTGTTTTGTTGGTCAAAAATAAGCACAGGCCTGGCTGAGGCTTAAATGCTGAGGTCTGTTTGTTTCTTGCACTCAAGCCTCTTCATGTACCCTTGGGTGCCCCAAGGCCTGGGCTCCACCCCTCCTCCCCACTGCCCTTCATCCCCCCCACCTTGGCCCCCAGGGCCTTATCCCTCCCCCGTCCCGCTCTGTCACCTGCTGTCACCAGCTCAGAATCAGGGCCATCCTTACACTCCCTCCCTGCATAGCAACACGGATCCCTTAATCCAGTCTCTTCACCTCGGCTTCATCCAGTGACCTGAGTCCAGCTAAGCGCCCGCTCACCACTCACCACTCGAGCTTCACAGGCACAGCTGACGCCAGGGGACGACGGGACGCAGGGACACCGCTGAGTCCTGCTGGCTCCTGTGGCAGGCGGCCCCAGTGACCTGAACTCCAAGCAGCCCCTGGCAGGTCTGCTAGAGATTGTGCATCCAACCTGCAATTGCTCCCTCCACTGCAGCTAAGTCTGCCATCGCAGAGCCCGAGTGAGAGAGAGTCCGGGGATTCAGTGTTTACCGTGCCCGCAGCTGAGCTGGGCTCGGTCCCTGGCATGGCATATGTTTCCCTGAGCCCCGCCACGAGTGGTCCCCAAACAAAATAAAACTTTCACCCCTTCTCCTTCATTCTCCTTTTCCTTCTTCTCTTCTCCCTGGGGGATCTTGGTGGTGGCTAAGGACAGCGACTGTTCTCTCAGCTGCCTGAAAGTCCTGAGAAGCTGCCTGACCACTCGGCTCTCCCTGCAAACCCGAATGGGAGCCTCAGGGCTGAGTGCAGCTCCCCAGCGTCCAAACTCAGCCCTGTGCCTGAAACTCCTGGACCCAAAGCCCACTCCTCCCTCCCTCCCTCCCTCCCTCCCTCCCTCCCTCTGCTGCAGCCACTGGGAGCACAGCCCAGCAGCCCCCCTCTGCAACAGGCACCCCAGATCTCTGCCTGTGTGGCTCAGATGGCACCTCATCATGCAGCCCGCCCCCCGCCCACAGCACTCTCAGTGTCTTCTGGCTTAGCGTTTATCACCATCTGATAGTCATCCACTTCACTTGCTTATTTTCTGTCTCTTTATGCCAAGTAATAACGGGGCACGTTATTTTTGCTGTTCTGTCATTTCTGTACCAGTGCTGGGTAGAAAATAGGCCCAACACAAATGTCTGCAGAAGGCAGGAGGAGGAGAGGAAGGGAGGGTGGGAGGGCAGAGGGGGAGGAGGAGGGGTCACTTTGAGCCATACAATTTGGCCTGGAGCACTGCGTGGGAGTCCCCTGTAGCCATGACACGGAGGTCAGCAGGTGTGCTTCCCGTGGGGGTGTCAGGGGCTCATGATCCCCACTCCCAGGTGCAGCCTCTTCCCCTCCCTTGCTCTTTGGAGTCTTTGGCTCTGGGCATCACCTTGGGTACTCAGTACCTGCATGGCACTGAGGGGGACACATTTTGGGGGTCCCACTCCTGGCTGTACTCAGGAATCAGTCCTGGTGGTGCTCAGGTCTGCGATGCCGCGCATCAAGCAAGGTAGGCTAGTTCACGGTCAATGCTTGACCGCTGACTCTCTCTCCAATCCAGGGTACACACAACTTTGCCAGGCTGGCCACTCACTGCTTACTCAGCAGTAAAGGGAACCCTGAGGCGGGGTGGGGGCGGGCGTTTGGAAGTGTTCTGGTGCTGGGAACTCCCGGATCTGATTTCTGTCTCTCCCCAGAGCTTTGCTAGGATTTTCCTGGGAGTCCACATCCATCAAGACGCCCAGCGGCCTCATTCAGAGGGAAGGGAGTTTATGGAGGAGAGACGGGGGCCTGAGAGGTGGCTCAGCTGGGAGTGGAACTCGTGTAGTGGGGTGTGGGGTGAGTGCAGGCCTGTGGGGGTCAGGAGAGTCAGGAGGCTGCACCGTGGTGCACAGTCAGCCTCATCATGAAGAAACTGGCTTCCTGCTTCCAGAACATTCCAGCTGGATGCATTCCCAGGAACTCTGCTCCCCTGTGTCTGTCTTTTCCATCAGAGTATGAAGAGGCCACTTTCTCTGCACAGGGGGCTGGAGTTGGGCGCCTGATTCGGAAGGACCCTTTCCACATCTTGCCTCGCCCTCGTCCATCTTGCTGGACTGTCTCAAGTGTCCTTTCCCTGAGGCTGAGCCGGGAAGAGCCTCAGCGCCTTGCAGGAGGGAGTGAGGGCAGAGCATGCACTAACGGCTTCGCTGAGCAGCCAGAGGCTGGGGTGGGAGACAGATGCTCTGCTTGCTGGGGCCCCGGCTTTGGTCCCTGGCACCACATGGACCCCCGACACTGCCGTGAGTGACCAGAACAGAGTCAGGAATAGCCTACTGAGCACTGCCAGGTGTAGTCCCCCCAAGAAAAGATAATAAATACACAGATAATAATACATAAATAACAATTAAAAAATAATAATATGTAAACTAATAATAATGCTAATAATCCTGTTCTGTCTGCTCTCCACCCTGGAATCCTGTGGGATTCTCCTTGCTGGTCTCTGTACTCTCTGCACTGGGAACCTCCACCAGGGCCTGGAGAAGCAGTGGGGTGCTTGCTTTGCATGCAGACGACCCCCGTTTCACCCCCAATACTGCATGTGGCTCCCCCAGCACTGCCAGGAGGTCCCTGTGCACAGAACCAGAAGTAGCTCCTGAGCATGGCAGCATGTGGCCTCAAAGCAAACAAATGCCTCCAGGGCTCGGGTTTGGCTCAGCAGGCTGAGGGGGGCTCTGCATGCAGGGAGCCCAGATCTGACCCCCAGCCCCCTTCCGTCCTCCAAGCCCCGAGTGACCCCAAGCACTGAGCAGGGAGTTGCCCAGCTGGTGAGCTGGGCGCAGCATTGGCTGTGTGCCCCGCACCCCACCACCCCGAGAGAAATAAACGCCTCATCAGTTCCAAGGCTCATTTCTGCTGTTGCCAGACTCTCACACTGAAGAGGGGAAGCTCTAGCTTCTACTTGGGTCAGACACCCCCGCCTCTGAAAACATTGCAAAGGTTCGGGCCAGGGGCAGTTGGGGGGCGGGGGGCTAGGCTGCTGGCAGTGAAACCCAGGACTGGGAGAAGTCCCCACCACCTCCTCTTAGCAAACGCCTCTGCAGAGGGACCCATGGGGAAGGGAGTGGATGTGTTTTCCTGCAGGCTCACCTGAGGGGTCCAGCCAGGAGCCTGGGGAGGACCCACAGGACAAGGGCACAGGGGGAGGTCCTGGACACCCACCACTGCCAGGGAGAGGCCAAGTGACCTGGGCATCACCACTCAGCCACCCACTGCCAGCTGTCCATGTCCCCCCTCTGCTAACGTGGACGCCCCTGGTTCCCCAGACCCGGACCCCAACCCTGCACCCAGTACTGAGACAGACACTCTCACAGACACACTTAAATGTCCTTTGCAGCCAATGATCTCTGGGCTAGCCCAGAGCCCAGGCTGCTCTCAGTTTCCCATGTGGGAGCCCCAGGCTCCACCCAACTCCCCCGAGGGCCTGACACTGCAGGGATTGACCCCAAAACCATAAATAAATTAAAGCATAACCTGGCGAACACTTGGGCGACAAGTGAGGAGGCCTTGAGGAAGAAGTGGGGGGTCCCTAAGGGTTTGTATCCTAAGCACTGAGACCCTGGAAACCCACCCCGACACCCCCAGCCCCCACCCCTCCACGCCCTGCCCCGTCACCTTCCACAAGGGGTGCAGGCCGCAGACGGGGGCTGCCGGCGCCCTGTCCAGCTTGGGGTCCTGCGGTGTCCGCAGCACCAGCTTCCTGCACCTTTGGGGCGACTCCTGAGGTCAACTCGGGAGCTGCGGCTGCCTCCATGCTGGGCCACCCCGAGACTGGGCTCAGGGGCGGATCTTCACGCCTGGGGGAGGGAGGGGCTGAGCACCTGCTCCCAGCCGCCTTCTGGGGTCCCCGCCATGGGATTATGTAACTGGGCCGCCTCCCCCCGTGGCGGGACTGGAGGGGGCTCTGGGAGAGGGGCCACCCAGCCCAGAATAGCCACAGGAGGTGGCAAAGAGGCTGTGATGCGGGGAGCTGCCCCCATCACGTAGCGTGGGACAGGAGATTCCAGCGCCTCCCACCTCCTCAGTAGAGGGCCAGGTCCAGAAAAGTGGGCGCAGCCCAGGGGACCTGCTCCACAGCCAGTGGGTTGTCAGGGCTCTCCAGGCGACCTGCCCAGCTCCCCCCCAACCCCCCTTCACCTCCCTTCACTGCACCCCCGGGCGAGGTCTGCCCTGAGCCGCCCCGGCTCCTCTGCCACCTCCTGCAGTGACTTGTGACCTCCAGCTCTCTCCTGGGTCTGGTTCCTCATGCGTGCCAGGGAGATAAGCAGCTCCCGGCGTGTGGCGGGGGCTCAGGGGCTCATCTGCAGCGGGGCAGGGGGGCAGGGGGCTGACTAGGCGTGAGGGACAGGCACTATTCTTAGCCAGGCCACCGCTTCCTTTCTGAGCAGAGCCAGTGCAGAAGCCCTGTGTGCAGGGAGAGGAGCCCACGGCGACCAGGCTCATTCCTGAGCACAGTGACCTGGGCAGAGATGCTATGGCCTGAGAGGTGGGGGCGGAGCGAGACAGTCAGAAGGGCACCAGCCCCGGCTGCTGCTGACATGCGGGCCGAGCCCTGCACGACCCCCTCCATGCCTTGCCCTCGTCTGTGGCACCTGGTTCCTGGAAGCCTCAGTTCCTCTTTCTTCGCCTTTCACCCCTGGCCCTTCCTTGCTATGGTGTGACATCGTGTGTCTGTTGTGGTGGCCAGGGTCCTGGACAGGAGACTCTGGGACTGAGCGTGGTGTTTGGGGGTGGCACCGCCAAACTCACTCATCCAAGGCAGGAGCTTCTGCCATAGAACCGCTTTGGGCTCACCGGCACACACCTGTTTATTCCTTCCTGGCCATGCCCAGGGTCAATCTCAGGGTCTCACACATGCGAGAGACGTGCTCGAAGGTTGGGTCACACTCCAGCCCAGCAGATATTTTTGTATTTACTTGATTGCTTGGGCTGGATCAATAGCACAGTGGGTATTTGTTTGCTTTGCACGCGGCTGACCCGGGTTCGATTCCTCCGCCCCTCTTGCAGAGCCGGGCAAGCTACCGAGAGTATCTCACCCGCACAGCAAGGACTGGAAAGGTACCCGTGACGTATTCGATATGCCAAAAATAGTAACAACAAATCTCACAATTTGCTGTGAGGCGTTACTGTTGCTCGCTCGAGCAAAATCGATGAACAACGGAAGGACAGTGACAGTGACAGTGACTCAATTGCTTAGTTTTAGGTTCACAACAAAATCGAGCAAATATGCCTTTTTGTTGCTTTTGGATCGTGGTTGGTGGGACTCCAGGGGTGCCCTGTGGCACCTCATCACTTGTGGCAGTGCTCAGGTGACCATAGGGGATGCTGGTGATCGAACCTGGATCCGCCAAGGATCAAATCTGGGTCACATACAAGGCCTGTGTCCAGTCTGTTGATCCATCTCCTCCAGTCTCTCATGAGAAAACAGTGAGCGTGGTAGAATGAACAGACTCTTTACCCATTTCCCCCTTTTTCCCCCTCAATTTGGAGGCAGACTCAAAAGTCCCTGCCAATATTTTGGTCTGGAGGTTGAGACCAGGGAAGCTGAAGATCCCCTACAGGCCCCAGACCCTGTTGGCAGGGCTGGGCTGCCTGAGGGGTGGGAGGCAGTGGTGGTATGGCTGGGCAAGGCCACCAGAGCTGACACATCAGAGGGCTGCCTCAGGGACTAGTTTCTCTCTCTCTCTCTCTCTCTCTCTCTCTCCCCCCCACCCCCTGCTCTCTCTTTTTGCTTTTGGGTCATACCGGACTATGCTCAGGGGTTACTCCTGGCTCTGTGCTCAGGAATTACACCTGGCAGTGCTGGGGAACCATGTGGGATGCCAGGATTGAACCTGGGTTGGCTGTGTGCAAGGCAAATGCCCAACCCGCTGTACTATCTGGTCCCGGGACTATATATTTTTTCAATCCACACAAGGTCCGTTAAGGAGAAGTAGTCCTGAAACCGGGGGACACCAAACATGCCCTTCTCCACCCCATTTCAGTATCTTTTAGGGAGAAAGGCTGTTAGTTTAGTCCTAGTCCTCTGCTGCAATGAAGGGGTGAAGAAATAAAATGCAAAAGGCAGATTTCTGGGGTAGTTCAAGAGGTAATGGGGGAAGTACCCTGGAATCTTTTATGTTTTAAATTTTTAAATTTTTATTTATTATTAAAAATTATTACTTTGGTTTTTGGGCCACAGCTGGCAATGCTTAGGGCTAACTCCTGGCCCTGTACTCAGGAATCACTCCTGGTGGCACTCAGGGAATCATATGGGATGCTGGGGATCGGGCCCAGACACACACACACACACACACACACACACACACACACACACACACACACACAGAGCGGCCTGAGGACTTTTCTGGGATGTGTTCAGCAGAGTGCAGCGCTCTGAGCATCAGGGCTCAGACATGAGGCCAGAGCCAGGCTCGGTTGGCAAGTCGCTCTGAGCTCGAGGCGACAATGCTGAAAGCCAGGGCAAAGGCTGTGAGGGTGTGGTGGGCACTCCTAAAAGGAACACTTTAGGGTCTGCTGATAGGAGTAGGGAGCTTGCCTTGCATGCAGCTGACCGCTATCTTCCACATACAGCCCCTGAGCACCCACAGGACGTGGCCCCCAAAGCCCCAGGCAGACTGTTGTTGGGAGGAGACCAGCAGCCATGCGGGGTACTCTGTGGAGCTGACCAGGACAGCCTCCAAGTAAGAGGACGAGAAGCATGGCAGGAGGGGCTCAAACGGGGAGCACCATGGCTGGGGCGTGGGCCTGAGTCAGACCCCTGAGAACGCAGAGCGCTGGGGAGCAATCGATGTAGCTGGGTGTGGGGGAAGTGAGGACCGAGACGGTGTGTGAGGCTGAGGGCCCCAACATGCTCTTCCATGCTCATGACGCCCATGGAAGGAGTGTGTGTTCTGAAGCGCTGTCCCGGGGCCCGATAATATCAGGCAGTTCCTGGCAATACATGGCCTGGCAGTGCCAGCCTGCAGATTTAATGCCTGGACTGGCCTGCATGCCTGGTCTGGGCCAGCAGTTCTACTCCTGATGGTCACACTTGGACCTCGGCATGCAAGGCTCAAGCTTTGTATGTCTTTGAGCATCCTCCCTGAATGAGAAAAAGGTGAGCAGTTTCTCCCATAAGTGATCTCCCACTCTCCATGCTACCAATAAACAGTGCTGGCTCTTAAACGCATCATTCTCTCTGGTTGCTGTTGTCTGTATATATTCTTTTTCTTTTTTCTTTTTGGGTCACACCTGGCAATGCACAAGGGTTACTCCTGGCTCTGCACTCTGGAATTACCCCTGGCGGTGCTCAGGGGACCATATGGGATGCTGGGAACCGAACCCGGGTTGGCTGCGTGCAAGGCAAACGCCCTACCCGCTGTGCTATTGCTCCAGCCCCTCTGTATATATTCTTTTAAAGCTACAACACTGGAAAAGTTATCCCATTAACAAACTATAACCCGGTCATTCAGCAGGTCAGATAACAAAGTCCAGTCTGGTTTATTTCTAGCCCAAATATTTCGAATATACAGAAAATTACCGGTACAAAGTTAAACACATCCAGATTTATTTACACAATGCTAAAGAAATTTGAGTTTTCATGTTGTGGACTTTTATTGGGGGGGGGTCTGGCTTTGTTAGGTAACTGACAGGGGTTGCTGAAACTTGATTCTCCCACCTCACATGCAATTTCTGTTCCAGAGGAGCAGAAAACTTGGGGTGTTAGTGCACATGCAGTAATGATGTAATACTGCTTTACACTTTCCTCGGGAGGTGGCTGAGGGGGGACAGAGAAGTTACAGAGCAGGGGGCAGGGGAACCACATGCTCAGAAAGGGAACAAGAGACGAGAGGGGACTGGACACCAGGCACAAGGGAACCCTGAGCATTTCTGTGCAAGAGGGTACGGAGGGCATGGCCAGACCCTCCTCCCGAGACGTCCAAGCTGGAGGTGGGCAGAACCCGGGCACATTCGAGTCACCTGACCATAAACTGAGGGCATGCGAAGGGTGCCAACAGCATCAGAGATCGAAGACTTATCAATAAATCATTAACATGTACACTATACAGTTTATACATGTGTCTATTTACACATCTCTCTATATAAAGGTACTGATTAGTTGTATTATTCTATATAAATGCTCAAGAATGGACTTGTGTGAAAAAATGCACATAGCAAGTTGGAGACGATTTCAAATGAATGCTCTGATTTGTGTGATGAGGCAACGGGATCGAGAAATGGACACGCTCCTGCCTCCTCCAGGATCCCTGCGAGGGCGGCCCGCGTCCTTCCCGCACACCCCTGTGGCCAATCTGAAACTTTGGTTTGGTTCCAAGGACATTAAGTCCGTGTTCATTTTCCTGCCTGGGGGGGAGGTAGGAGCAACTGACAAGCAGAACCTCTTCCTATTCAGGCACTTCCGGCATCCAGGCACCTGCCCCTGGAGGAGGGGAGCGCCGGGTCCCTGTGCAGTGTGGAGCCAGGATCCCTGGCCGCGGCGGCCGACAGCCCCATGTTCCTTTCTCCGCTGCAGGAGGTGCGAAGGCTTCGGGAGAAAGCTAGCTTTTGCAGGCGGCACAGAGCGGGGACTGTGGTCAGCAGGCGGCTGGAGGCATGCGGAGGCCCGGAGGAGTGAGAGCCGCACCAGGAAGGGGCAGATGCTGGGGGCAGATGCTGGGCTCCGCTACACCTCCGCTCTCCTCTGTGGCAGTCTCTGCGGGGAACCACCATGGTGGGCACCTCCTGGGCTCTGGGCTTGCTGAGAGTGGGAAGGTGGAGCCTCCCTGACCCGGCCACGTACGCTGACCACTCCTGGTGTCAAAGGCTCGTCTCCCTTACAGAGCCCTGCTCTGGTGCCATGACCTCCGGAAACGACCTCTCCTGCCACCATTAAGTCTGGGCATTTACAGGTCACGCTATTTGTTTCAAAGATAATCCTCCCAACCTCACATCAGGAGGACAGATGAGAAGTCTTTATTTTTTCTCCTTAGAAGGGCTCGTGGGTACAGCAGCTCTACTCTGGCTGAGGGCTTGCGTTTATGTAACGGGGGAGCAGGCTGAGAGGGGCTGACCCAGCGTGCCAGTCACCCTCAGCCCTGCAGGGCCTGGCAGACTGGGGGGGCTCCGGGCAAACCCTCCTCACGCCCACGTTCTCCACCCAGGCCCCTCCGTGAGCCGAGTGGCAGCAACTAAACACACATTTAAAATCGCCTCCAGTTTTGTTTCAGCATGATAAACGGGAGAAGAAAAAGGGTTGACCAAGGCAGCAAAAAGGCGCTAGATCCGCTCTGAGAGAAATGCCACCGATCCCTGTCCTGAAGAACCATCTGGGAGAGTGTCCGGTGGTGCCCAGCACTCTGGCAGTGACACACGGGGACTGCAGTGACAGTCAACTCGGTATGTGAACCCCACTCCAAAAGCATGGTGATGCTGGCCTGAGGGGACACCAGGCTGTGACACAGTGAGGTACAGCCCTCTGGGCATGGCCAGGTCCTCCAGTCCCCCGAGACTAAGGGCCCGTACCCTGTTCAGAGCACAGAGACCTGCTTCATCGCGGCCCACCCAGGGCGGTGCCACCCGCAGCACAGGGCACAGTGCAGAGGGCCCGGTGCCAACAGGCCTTTCCTGAACACACTCTGGCGCAAGAAGGCGGGACAAAGGCCCCGTGCCATCCCACAGGAGCGGCTGTATCTTTGGAATTATTTTGAATTTAAAAATCAAGAAAATACACAAGCTTTTCCTAAAATACTAGTACTCTGGCTCTAACACATCTTAGTTCCTCTCACAAAAACTGCCCTTCCCTACTCTCCTCACTAAAGCTCCTGCCTCTCCATTTTCCTGCGGTTTCCAAGTCTCTAACGCCCCCCTCCCCAGCTCCTGCCTCCTCGCCTCCCCGCTGCCGTTAAACCCATCCTGGTAGGGAGAGAACAGCCATCTGCTCCTGCATTCTGACAGAAGTTAATTTGGCACATTTTACTTTTTAAAACTGACTTTCTAGCCATGAACGAGCAGCAAACTGGCAGTTACCAAAGACTGTCCCAGTAAAAATTACTGGGAGTAACTGTGACCAGCACAGCAAGTACCGAGACTTCCTACTCCCGTGTAGCAAATACTCCACTTGCAGTAACACTCACTGCTGCAGCTTCCCATTACTCTATGGCCACCCAAACATCACTGATGCTCTAGAGTTCATTTAGGTCTTACCAGGCCAAGGGGACAATTTACCAAGATTTAAGTTACATACTGAGGGTATGGCCACGGCATCACCTAGAGTGGACGTGGGTTCTCCAGTGCTTCGGCCAGCAGCCAGGAAGCGGTCAGTGGCAGGGTGAAGGGGCATGTAGAGAGTCTCATGATAGAAGGGGTTTGTTTCTGAGAGGTCTCAGATCAGAAAGCATGTCCCGCCCTTGGCTCCAGCTACAACAGCAACCTAAGAGGAAGCAAGGAAACGACTGTCCTCAAGAGGCGCCAACAAGCCAGCTGGTCAGGGGGAGGGTGGGCAGAGACCGTGCTCGCCCTCCAGGGCTGCGGCCAGCGTGCCACCATCCTCCCTGCAAAGCCTGCCTGCTCTGCCTGGGCAGACGCCCAGGCCGTCTGACCCTGTCCTTGGGCAAGGCCACTGGCACACACACAAAGCATGGCTTGAAAGACCTCGGAAGAAGCGAGAATTTCCCCTTTAATAGGTGCTAAATCTAGTCGATTCTTGACTACACCCCTTCTTCCTGCCCAAAGTTAAAAATATTGCCCTCTATGTTTTCCTGATTTAGAGTCTTGGAAGCACATGGTTAAGCCAGTGGCCAAAGGGCAGTTAACAAGGGTGCTGCCTAATGAGACAGGAGAAAAGAAAGATCCCTGTGGGCGGTGGTCCCTGACGGATGGGGCTGTGTGTGCGGCGTGGGGGTTGCTGCTGCTGGCGGTGGGCTGTGCCCAGTGGGGAGAAGCGGGCGCAGCCTCCGCGTCCAGCTCTGTAGCTGCGGTCACCGCAGAGCTGGGCAGCACCAAGGCCATGAGGTCTGACGCCGGAGCCGGCAGGTGCCCTGGGCAGGCGCCATGCACGCATGCAGCAGCAGCCGGGCGGGGGAAGCATTCCCCTCACACTCCAGTTCCTTCCCTTGGAGATCCAAGTTTAAGCCGAAAGAGCCCGTACTTTGCAGAAAGACAGAACTTGAAAGAAAAAGTTAAAGAATTAAAAACCTCTTCCCTCTCTTTACAGCCAACTGTAAGGAGTTTTTAGGGAGCCCCTCCACCCCCACCCCCCACCCCCTGATTTCCTTAGTGTCGGTCGGTCCTTTAGGCTCTGATGGAAGCAGCAGAAACGGAGCTGGGTCCCTGGAAATGGGGAATTTATTTCCCTAAGTCGTAGCCACAGGGAGTGTTGAGAGGTACTGCGGTTCCACCATCCACGCTCGGCCCAGCTCCTCTGCCGAGTTATTCCAGAAGGTCCTGAAAAGAAAGACAGAGCTCCGTGTGGTGTCTTTGTTGACTAGAACATCCTGTGCCACTGTCCAATCTCTGGGCTGGCCAGGCCTTTCAGGCGCCGAGTTGCTGCCTACAGCTTCCAGCCGGGGGCTCTCAGAGGGAACCGGAGCAGGACAGTGAGCACCCCTTCACCCTGCCTCCCCCGAAGGCACAGCCTCACCTCGTCGGAGTCATCATGGTAACTACGCTTGTTAGCATGAGAAGCCGCATCCAGACCATCCACGCCGTCCACGCCGTTGGCCTCTGCATGCTGCTGCAGCACAGAGTACCGGTGCACCAGGAACCTGCGAGAAGAGCGTGTGAGATGAGGGGCGGACCCTTCCCCTCCACACGGACCAGTTTCTGGGTTTGGTTTTATTCTGGGTTCTGGTCTAGTAGTTCTCAGGCGCTAGTCTCGGTTCTATGCTGAGAAGCGACCCGCGGAGACGCTGGGGGAATATCTGTGGTGCTGGGATTCAAACTGGGCTGGGCTGCGTGCAAAGCCGGCGCCGGCCCTCCTGGACTCTCTCTCCGGCCTGATTTTCTGAGTTTCATGCACTCAGAGAACAAGTCACGAATGAATGACAGGCAGCAAACCAAGCCAGTCAATGAAAACCAAAGAACTGAGTGGACTTGGGCCTAATGAGCCAAGTGTCGGTCAAGGAGAGCCCCGCCGAGTGCCCTCAGCTGCCATTCTGTTCGAGTTCAGTGACTGAACGACATCCCTATCCCTTACCTCCCCCCGCACACGTATTTCTTCACAACGAGCACGCCCGCTATGACTGAGATCAGCATCAGCCCCACAGTGGCCAGGATGATTGGAACCGAATTGGACTTGGAGTGCTAGAGAAAGGAAAGCGGAAAACATCATTAGCTGTGCAGCTCCAGGACGGAGCCCAAAGCAGCTGCCCAGGGCCCTGCCTTTGGTGAGTGCGACCTGCAGACTCTGGCCTATGGCGATGGCACTCCCCCACCCCCCACGAGGAGATGGCTCAGTGCTCCCAGAAATCATGGCTGGCCACAGGCGACCAAAGCCCCACCTGCCTTGGCACAGGGAAAACGCGGTATTCAGTCAGGGAGATGGTGCGGCGTTGGCCAGCACCATTGTGAATGGGGCTTGTGTCTGGGCCACACCAGCCGGCAGACCCCAGAGTGCTCTGAGCCAAGTAGGCATGGGAGCCGATGGTCACCAGAGGCTGCTGGTGGTGGACACCAGAGGAGGGCCCAGGGAACTTGGGCCACGCTCAAGCAGGCTGCCCATTGCCTGAGACAGGGCTCTCCTCTGGACTTCACTTCTGCTGCTTCACATCAGAGCGTCGGTGGGAGACGGCATGCGTGTCCTCAATGTGCTGAGGAGGTCACAGGACCCCAGGACTGGCAGTTACCACCGGGGATGAGGGGCCCATGGGAACCCTTCTTCCCTCTCTCTGTCCTCCTCATTCTTTCCCTCTCCCCACTCCCCAGCCTCTCTCTCCAGGGCACCGCGAGGAGTCCGCCCGGCGAGCATACACACCTGCTCACTCTTCCCCTCTGCCTCTTGGTGCGGTCCCAGGAGACCTCATGCAGGGTGGGACCCACATCGCGTCCTCTCGCCCCTCTTACAGGTTAGAAAACGGGCCCAGTGTCCTGCCCCAGTGGCACTGCTGCCCCGAGAGGTCTCCGCTTGGGCACCGCTCGCTCCGGGCAGGGAGGGAGTGCTGCGCCCTACCAAGCCTCCCCGTGGCCAGTTTCTTGGTCAGAGCTCGCCTGCCATCGCCTCGGAGCTGTGAGCCGCATCTCTGGCACCTCATGGGGGCAGCAGCTACACCACATTCTGGTCTTTTATAACCAAACTTCTTTTGGGGGGTCGGGGGTTGGGGGGACACACCCAGTCAGCACTAGGGGCTTACTCCTGACTGCGCTCAGGATCCCTGTTGGCAGGCTGTCGGGGGGGGGGGGGACAGACGGGGTGCTGGGGATGGGACCCGGGGCAGCTGCACACAGGCCAATGCCGTGCCCTTCTGTACCTATCTCTCTGGACCACAAACGAACTTGAGCTTTTCCCTAAATGACTGAACCTCAAATTTCCTCAGCTCTATGCTTAGCTCTAAGACTTATATTAACTCTATGGAGTGACAATTTCCCTCCAGCACAAGTTTTCATAGGATGAGCATATCGCTGGGTCCCCATCAGCGTGAAGGTTTGCGTGTGAAGGGAAGCCTGAGAGAAGTGCTCTGGCCATTTTGTATCCAGGAGTCAAACCCCAATGTCAGTAACTTCTGACTCTTCCTGGACTAACACAATAGCCCTCTTGCACAAAAACCCACAAAAGTCTTCCACGTACTGGCTTTTCTGGACTCAAAAAGTTGCTTATGCACTTCTTTTTCAAGTCTTTGACTTCTCGAACTGGATTCACTCCGCCCTGGCACTTGTCTCCAGGAATCTTCCGGTACCTGAGAGGCAGAGACACTTGGTCAGCAGCTTACAAGGATGCACCCCCAGACTCTCGCCTGTTTCCTGAGAACAAGGTATGAGAAAAATGCAGAGAAGTGCCCTGTCCTCCTTTCAGGGTGTTTGGGGACCACTCTGCGCTGGTCTGGGCCTGGCCTTTGGCAGGGCTTGCCTGCCTGTCTGTCCTCAGAGGCTGATGTGCCACAGGGGTAGGGCAGCCCATCCCTTGTGGTGCAACCCCGGGCATGAGATGGTTTCTCAGGAGGGGGAGGGGCTCCCGTGCAGGGACGCTGACACGGGGCTGTGCAACTGAGAATTCATCACAGCCACTTGGGTTCCTTGACTGTACTCAGTGGCAACTTGTGGCCGCAGTGGCCTGGCCCCAGACACAGCCGACTGGATGGCTTTTCCATCCTCACAGTAGGCGCTGGTAGGCGTTTCTCTGGAGAGTGCTGAAGTTCCACTCAGCTCTCTGTGGAGAGGGGTTATAGGGAGAGGGAAAGGCCGCCTCACCCGTTGGTCGTCAGATGCTCTTCTCGCCCATACAGACAAAACTCGAGGTCGTGGCCCTTCAGCTCTGGCTGTTCCTCACACTTGGAGTCATTTTCCGGACGGTAGTAGCCAAAATCACTGTAAAAGTCAGCAAAGGAAACTAAACCCATAAAGCTGCTGGGAGACAGAAGACAGCGGGTGGTGGTGGCTTCCACGGGGCAGGGGGTGGCGAGTGCCCACTCGGGCTGCTGGGAAGCAGTAGAGGGAGCCTGTCCCCACACCCACGAGGGAGGGCGGACCCGGGGAAGGTTCACAGAGAGGCCCTGGGAGGGGCCTGACGACTGTGGTGGGCTGCAGCGGGGGGGCTGGCAAGGAGGCCCAGGCTGAGACCCAGAGCTACGAGGCTGCCGGTGGCCCCTCTGGACTCGGGGCTCCTCAGCTCCCGTCACCTCTAATGAGGAGCCACAGTCCCCCCACCCCGTGGCTCCTGGCCACGAAATCCAGGGGAGCCTTGCCTGGTCTCGGCCACCTCACCCAACTTCCTGCGACTCCAGGAAACTGCTCCCACTGACTGACCCTGGCACCGCAGCACTAACCTTCTGTTTGTTGTTTCTATTTGTTTGTTGGGGGGGGGGGGGTGGACGGATGGGAGGGCCTTACTCCGTGGCTCTGTGCTCAGGACTGACCCCTAGTGGAGCTTGGGGGGTGCAGGAGATGGCTCAAACCAGGGGGATGGTGTGCAAGACAAGTCGCTTCCCCGCTCCCCGCCCCCCCCCCCCCCGCATCCCCCCCGCCATTTGATTATCCTTCACTAGTGCTCACCTGCCTTCCCAAGCCCTAAACACAGTGGTGCAAGGTTCTCTTCCTGTGTCTGCTCTCCCCTCGTGAGCTTAACTACTGTGGCTGCGACCCACACATCAGTTTCTCCTCTCCTCTGCTCTAATCTGACACTTCCAAGTACCACCTAAAATAGCCACTCCAATACTATGTGTAAAAACACGCCCTCCCCATCACAGCCTCTCAGGATTATTCCCCCGTGTTTGTCCGAGGCGTGACCTTCCTCCTGTCATTTCCGTTGGAGGCTTAGCCCAAGCTTTCCTGTCTGGAACCTGCTTGCTCCTTCATCGTGATAGGGGTGACCCTGTGGCCTCTCCCCCTGCACTCCCTCCTGACCACACTGTTCGCTGTCTTCCTTCCAGCTCAGCAGCCTCTCCCTTCCAGTTCAGGGGAGGAGCCCGGCTCCCAGGGCACAGGCTTTCTTGCCTCGAGCTCGTGTGACCAGGGCGCAGGCTTGGACTACCTGCCAGTATCGTGTCCCAGCTCAGCCACTTCCTGGCCAGGCGTCTTTGGGCAAGTTAGTCCCTCTGTCTGCAGCTTCATTCCTCTCTGAGAACTGGGAATCACAGCAGCACCCAGGGCTGCCATGCAGCGTATGACCTACTCAGGGAAGTTCCTAGGCGCCAGCTGTTATCACTTACTACTACTCAATTATCAAATGCAATATGCCCCCTCAAAGAGGCTGAATTTTGTTTTAAAACATCCTTTGGAGGGGGCTGAAGTGGTGTTACAGTGGGTAGGGCATTTGCCTTGCACGCGGTCAACCTGGGTTCGATCTCCTGCATCTCATATGGTCCCCCAAGCACCGCCAGGAGTAATTCCTGAGTGCAGAGCCAGGAGTAATTCTTAAGCATCGCTGAATCTGACCCCCCCCCCCAAAAAAAAAGCAAAACATCCTCTGGAGGGGGCCTGGTTTCATACCTGGCAGTGTGCAGGGCTTATTCCTGGCTCTGTGCTAAGGACTTACCCCTAGCAGTGCTCAAGGAACCACACAGTTACTAGGGATTGAACTGGAGTCAAACTGGGGTCCATATACCAGGCAAATGCCTTAACCCCAGTGTTGTCTCTCTGGTCCATAAGTCTTGAGTTTGAAGGTGGAGCCAAACCTATACACCATCTTTGAAACAGTCAATCATGTCACAGGGATACTGCTGAGGGGGCAGACGGCAGGGGTAAGAGGTGCAGTGTCTCAGAGCGCAGTGGGAAGGCTTGCAGGCAGGGTGGCAGCAGGTGCAACGGCACGAAGCTGAGGGCACCAGGCAGAAGCCGGGTACTAAGAGCCTCTCTCTGTGCAGCTGGTCGTGGGGAGACTTCACAGTCCCACAGCACCAACAGCTTCCAGCCGACCGCAGTGCCCCGGGGATGCGGGGGAGCTTCCCGAGGAACCAGAACCGGGAGACATGTCCATGTCTGTGGACCAGCGTCGGTCACGGGGCTCACCCAGACCTGTACTTGGAGTCTACGGAGTCTGAGAGAATATGACCGGGGAATGCAACAATCTGCTGATATTCCTGCCAAATCCACTTTCTTGTCCTAATCAGCATTTTCAGGTTGTGTTGGGGGATTTGGATCACACCCAGCACTTTTCAGGGGCTGTTCCTGGCTTGGTGCCCTGCAGTGACCCCTGGCACTGTTCAGGGGTCCATTATGAGGTGCAGGGGATCCAACGGGGGTTGGGGGGAATCAGGGGTGATGCAAGTGCCTTAATCCCTGCACTCTCTCTGGTCCCATGAGACCCGCCTCCCCTAAACTACCTATGAAATACCATCAAAATACGGGAAGAAGATATGAATAGAAACTTCCTCAAAGAAGATATACATCTGGCCAAACAGGTACATATATGAAAAAATGCTCTGCCATTCCTGATCATCAGGGAAATGCAAATCAAAATAATTATGAGATGCCACCTCACCCAGTGAGACTAGCACATATCACAAAGAAGAAAAATAACCAGTGCTGGCGTGGCAGTGGGGAAAAGGACCCTCAGCCATTGCTGGTGAGAATGTTGACCGTTCAACCTTTTTGGTAAACAATATGGAAAGTTCTCAAAAAACCGAAGGCTCTGGACTGGAGAGAGATGACAGCCTGCTAAGGTGCTTCCCTTGCACAAACCTGACCCAGATTTGATCCCTGGCACCATGCACACTTCTCTGAGTCCCAATCAGGAGTGACTTCTGAGCACAGAGCAGCCAGAAGTAAACCCTGAGCAGCACCAGGTGTGACCGAAACTGCAATCCCCCTGCCACCTCCCATCCCCTCAAAAAACAAACCCTAAGGGCCAGAGAGACATACAGCAGGGAGATGCTTCCCTTGCATGCAACTGGCCTGGGTTCAATCCCTGGCTCAGGAGAATCAGGAGTAAACCCTAAGGAATGCTTCATGTGGCCCCCAAGACAAACAAAAACCTTAAGCCTAAGAACTGAGGTCTCAGAGGATCGAGAAAGTCCACTTCCTTGCACCTACCCCAAAAACCATACTCTGGAAAGACTTCTGTGCTCCTATGTTCACAGCAGCACTACTGACTCTCATCAAAATATGAAAACAATCCAGGTGTGCGAGAAACAGAAGACTGGACAAAGACTATGGTAGCCGCACACAACGGGACACTACTTGGCTACAAGTAAAGATGACAGAATGACATTTGCTGGACAATATCACGCTGAGTGAAGTTGGGGAGATGGGCAGACACAGAGCGAGCTCTCTCCTGTGTGAGATATACAAACAAATGGGGTGGGGGAGGGGAAATACCAAATGGCCACAGACAATGGAGCCTGAGATTTACAGATCTGAGCTTAGCCTGGGGGCATGGATGGGAGGGCAAGGGCTGAGTGGGGGGGGGGGTGTGACACACATTCTGTTGGAGGAAGGGGAGTTGGAACATTATCTGAAAGAAACCCCATCACTAGCAGCATGGTGAATCACATGGTGCCAAAAATAAACACAATGAAGAATCAACAGGAAAAGACTTCAGTGATATGAAGAGCTTCCTCTTCTTTGTCCCAACATGCCTTGTTGGAGCACCTAGAGCTTCCTTGTCCGAAGTGGAGCTAACTCCACGCCGGACACAGGACTGACCTTTAAGACAGTCCTGAATTCCTGGGAGATTCGAGGCTCATTGGAGGTCCCGAAACAGACATGAGAGAAGGACCATAAACATGCCACACACATCCCCGTCTCAGGACAAAACCACACTTCCTCTGACTTCAGTTTTCAGGCAAGCCCAAACTGATTGCCTTATCTACCAGCGGAAGTCAAGCTATGAAGTTGTTCTCTAAGGCTCCTTCTTGTTGGATTCCCCCTTCCCCTTTTCCTTCATACCACTGCTCATCAGGATTGCTGGGGCTGCGCTACTTCTGCTTGGTAACTGTCGAAGAGGCTACTATTGATTCAGCTACTAACATCTCTCTTCCCTTTCTCTAGGCCTTAGTTTCCTTTCTAATGTCATTTTGGGGAAGAAGGGTAAGGGAAGGAATCAGAGAACAACTGCCTTTCCCCTCAAGGCTCCAAGCCAGGAAAGGGACTAATTGGTCTGAGAGAAGCTGGTACCAGAGAAAGTCCTCCAGGGAGCAGGGACAGATGGATGGTTGCTTGGTGACCACGTAGTCCCGTCCATTCTGACAGACGGAGGACTTGCGGAGCCGCAGGTACTGTTCTTTGTAGCCGAGAATGCAGCCATCGCCATAGTCTCCGGGGTCAGTGGAGTGGGCCAGCCATATGGTGTAGTCCTTCTCCTCACCTGCAGGAGAGAGAGGCTGCTGAGAGCGTGCATGGCACAGTGCCCACCCATGAGAGCGAGTGGCCGGGCTCCAGGAAGAACAGGGAGTGGCAGAGTGTGTGTGTGTGTGTGGGAGGGGGGGGGAGGAGGAGTTTAATTTGATTTAAGCTACGGCTTCCATTTTGGAATTTCAAATCATGTTGATCTGGAACTCCTAGCAACTGAGGCCAAAGAGAACAGTTCCCATCTGAAGATTGGGAGAAACTCTGCCCCGAGACGGGATGCTGCAGTGTGCTCCTTTCTGAGTGGCTGCTGTCTGGAGGAGCTGGGGCCCCCATGGCCTCAGCCTTCAACCAGCCGGTACTGTCAGAAGAGGCTTCCAGATTGGGTTTGACTTCACCGAGGGCTAGTCTGCTTTAAGCAGAAAGGAAAACCACTCCCTCCTTAGACTTTAGGTCTACATGGCTGGCTCTGAAATGAAGACAGTTGAGGACTGTCAACCTGGCTCATTTATGAATATTTTTACTGACTCCAAGGCAAGGGCCTACCGACTGCAGGGTAGGGCATGAAGAGCAGCACTGCGTGTGGTAAGGAGTAGGCTATACTGAGGATACACCAGGCCAAAGGCGAAGTGGATCCTCTCTTCATTTCTCGTAATGGAGCTGACAGAAGAATTTAAACTGCAGGTATGGCTCTCATTTCACTTCTTGGACCACGGGGAGTTGCGGGGTGGACTGCTCTTATGACCGTTCCACTGCCTGATGACCCCTATGGAACTTTCTCCATCCTTTCTAACCTGGATTTTCTTATTCCAGGCAAAAAGAAACAAAGCCAAATTGGTTATTTAAGAGAGTGGGTTTACAAGTTTCTAGTAGAAGGCGTTGTAGGAGACACTCACAGTTCCTCTGAAGAATATCTTTAAAGTCAATGGTGTAGGAGATCCACTGGCGTGTCAGGAATGATTCCGTGAAACCCCAGATGCTGATGTTCATGGACCGAGCTCCAGGTTCTGAGGCCAGGCCAGTGAAGTAGATGGGCTCGCTGGTGAAGGAGTAGGTCTGCCAGCACTGACCTTCATCTGTGGAATACCTAAAGCCAAGTCAGAAAGTTAATGAGAGAGGACCAGCATCTATGGGGCACCAGGAAACCAGCCTGGTGGCTCAATTCCAACACCTCATATTAAGGCGATGGATTACTGATTGGCAATTGTATTTTAATGCCTACAACTAACAGGGTAGGACAAAGTTATCAATCTGAGAGAATATGGAAGAATAGCAGCATCAGAAAAATTCTTCTGAAAACAGAGAGTAGAGACCCAGGAAGAATGGATGGCTGGATAAGTTATGACTCTATACTTCAGGAGTCATTTCCCATTCAGAGTGCTTAAATACTTCTGTTATATTCTTCCTGGGAAGAGAATGAATAATATTTTTAAATGTGTGACAAAAGAGTGTTATAGGGAACTAGCGGAGAAAACAAAGCCATTTCGTTTGCATTGTTCTAAATGCCACCCCTTCTAGCCCCTTCTCTGCATTTCTGTAGAACATGCACTTGGGACCGGGTGTCTGGACCCCTGCCCGCCACACTGATCAACACCCCCGGGGCCCGCCCTGCAGAGTTTGGTGGACTGAGCTCATGCATACTTAATCACATTGATAGGATGGCTGCTGTGCTCAATGGCCACGATGATGCCTCCAGAGTCCAGGATCGTGTAATAGTGGGGTCCCTCCAGCATCTTCATCCAGGAGTAACCCCCATCATCAGAGAGGTACACATCTGGGACCATCACTGAGATGGCATCGCCAACGCTACCTGCAACACGATCAGTGCAAAGTGACAGTGAAACAGAGGGCTCTGCTGGCAGGATAATGTCCAACACGCTACTCTATTATTTTTGGTTAAGTCTCGTAGGGGGAAGAAAGTGCTAAAATCTGGGAAAGGAGAAAATCACATTGTTGTCTCGGAGGAGGATCTAAGTGTCCTGTGGTACAGGGACTCCCAGAGAGGACTGTGAGAGACACAGAGGGTTTCTTTAGTACTTCTCCGTGAAGCTGGCCTGGGTCTCGGGGCTGTGTGCAGGGAGGACGACTTACCGTGGGCGATGACTATGCCCACGGCATTGGGCTCTGAGAGGGGGGTCATCGGCACGTTGAGTTTCTGGGAGATGCTGTAGGAGGCATGGATATGAAGGCTGCACTGTTGAGGAAAAAGCAGGACTAGAGTCAAACACTGTTCATCCACCTCACAAATCTCAATGCAGCTTAGTGCGTAAGGCACCCCTTCAGAGGGCTGCATGGAGCCTGGAGGCCAGACCTAGTGGGGCATGTGCACTTTAAAGGCAGACCTCGGCAGTATATGGATGTTTTTGTAAATCTGACCTCACATATGTGTATTTTCCACACGTGGTGAAATACACACAAGAGATCAACCCTTTAATGATTTTCAGATGCACCACAATGCAGCACCAAGTCCCTCCCCACTCTGCTCTGCAGCCACGCGCCCCGTCCCCGAATGTCAGCATCCTGCAAATCTTCAAGCTGCACCCATCACTCATCGCTCTACTCTGCTTCCTGTCCCCTACAACCCCTTCTACTCTGGGTTACTAGAAATGCAACGACTTGAGCTGTCTTCTGTCTGTGGAACCATGTAGTATTGGTCTTTTCTTTGACCAACTTATCTCATTCAGCATAATGCCTTCACGGGTGATCCATGTTACAGCACGTGACAGAATTCCTCTCCTTTTGAAGGCTGTGTATGATTGCATTAAACAATGAAGGTATCTTCCGCTTATGCATTCATTTATCAAAGGCCCATAGGTTGCTTCCAATACAGAATGCTGCTAGAGCAAACATGTCTTTGAAATACTGCTATCAATTCTTTTGTCTCTAAATATAGAAACGAAACTACTGGTTCCTATGGTAACCCTACATTTAATTTTTTGAGGAACCTCCATTCTGTTTTCCACAGTTGTTGCGCTATTTTTCATTCCAGCAGTGGATAAGGGTTCCAATTTTCCACATCCTGCCAACACTTTTTACTTTCTGTTTTTTATAAATTATTATTTATAGCCATCATTTAAAAGGATGAGAGGTGATATTTCGTGGTTTTTATTTATGCTTTCCTAATAATTATTGATGCTGAATATCTTGTCAAGTGCCTATATTTTAGAGAAATGTTCATTTAAAGTCTTTGGTCCATTTCTTTCTTTTTTTTGGAGGGGGTGTGGGTGGGAGTGGGGCACACCCAGTGGTGCTCAGGGATTACTGGGCTGGTGGGATTATATAGGGTGTCAGGATTGAACTCTGTTATATAATATTTCTTCATGTGCAAACTGTCTTAGTTTATTTTGCTCCTGTATTATACCAAAGTCTCTTGTTTCACATTTAGAGTATGGCTACAGAGAGACAGTACAGGGCTTGAAGTGCCTGCCTTGCATGTGCTGACCCAAGATCGATCTTTGGCACCATATATGGTCCCCTGAATACTGCATTCAAAGGAGTGATCCCTGAGTACAGTTTCAGGAATAAGCCCAGAGCACTGCTGGGTGTAGTCCCAATACAACAACAAAAAGCCCTTTAAAGTATGAATGCACACATATATATGGATGAGCATGCCACATACTTCAGACACTACAAAGTGTGGTAATGGTTTGAAGTAAGACCCAGGGCTGGAGAGGCAGTGGAGTGGGCTGGTGAACATCACAGATGCAGGAGGCTGGGCTCTGGCCCTAGCACTGCCTGGTCCCCTGCACAACCTCTTAGCACAGCTGCAAGAGCCCCCAAACTAAACAACAACAACAAAAACACAACAAATGAAACAAGACCCCATACTGCTTTTAAATAGCGTTTCTCAGAAATTCTTTGAAGTGTTAAAGAGACTGAAGTCTGAGTGCTTTGTTTCTTTTTTTTTTTTTTAATTAATTTTCTGGGCTACAACTATCACTGCTCAGGGTTTACTTCTGGCTCTGTGTTCAGGGGTCACTCTGTGTGGTGCTCAGGGGACCATACTTAGTGCCAGGATCAAACGTGGGTGGTCCATGAGCAAGGCAAATACCCTGCCTGCCATACTATCTCTCTGGCCCCAAAGTCAGTGCTTAAAAAGAAATTCAGGGAGCTAGCACAGGGGTTAAGGAACATGCCTTGATGTAGCAGACATTGGTTTGATCCTGGTACTGCATGTCCCTGAGCACTGCCAGAAGCACCCTGGAAGCCCCTGAACACCACAGGGTGTGGCCATGGAGAATTCAAAGCACTGCTGGATTGGTCCATGTGGTCCACAGCCCCACGTGGCCTGAGCAGCACCATATCCTCAGCCCTTGCATTGAACTGCCCACTGGGTTAGCCAAGAGTTGCTAGAAGGAGCCCCCGGGCCTCCTGAGCGCCTTTTCAGAGGCTCACCCAGCAAAATTAATCGGTGAAAATATGTATGTGACACTGCAACAAAAAATGAGGTTCAAGCAAACTCTTAGTGAACTGAAGAATGATGAGCTCTTACTGAGGGTGATTATTTCTAGTTGACTAGGGGTGGGGATGAACCCGCTTTCAGGAACAACATGAGCATAGCCAGAGTCTGGGGCTCATGCATGATTTACAGGGACAGAACTGGGGACTCGGGGGCCAAGAGTGGGGGAGAGGACCTTCTTGTGTGGGTCAGAGGCACGGGCATCATTGACAGGCACAGGTGACTGGCACCACACTGTTTGCAAGCTGAGAGGTTTGGCGCTACAGGGTGGGAAGGCAGAGTGAGGGGGCACCGCAGCTGCCTCAACACTGTGAGGAGAGCAGGCCCAGGGCAGGGCCCTGGCCAAGAGGTGCACACTATCTTGCTATCTTACACTGTCCCAGGCTCTTGAATCGAGAATACTAAAGCACCTATCAGTCCCAGGACTTCAAAAACAGCTCCCAGCATTCCCCAAAGCATTTCTTAAATTTGATCCTAAGAGCCAGATACAAATTTGTTTTGGGACCATATCCCCCCCCGCAAAAAAAAAAAACTGATGCTCAGGGTATATTCTGGCTCTGTGGTCAGAGATCATGCCAGGTGGGCTCAGGGGACCATATGGGATGTGGGGATCAAACCTGGGTTGGCCACATGCAAGGCAAGCACCCTATCCATTGCGCCACAGCTCCAGCCCATTTTTCTCTTCCCTTTCTCTAGAATGTCAAGAACTGCCACTCATGGACTATGGGCCCTCCTGGACACCCTCTGCACCTGCAAGTTCCTGGGTAAGTTCCTTTGCCACATGCACTGCCAGTTCTTTCCACACCCAGTCTGTAGAGCTCAGCCGAGTGGGCAAAGGCTGAGCTCTGTCCTGCTTTTCTGATCAGCCCAGCCCTGTTCCTGAATGGCTGGCCCCTGGCTCTGGGGATGATCCCTAAGTCTCACAGCTGCTTTGCAGCCCATCTGTCTATTGATTTCATTCAGCAATGCAGTGAAACAAAATGTATTAGCTTTCAGTTTTGTTTTTCTCCACACAGTGCATTTTAACCTGCTCACCAGCACTTGGAAACTGTTCCTCCAAGCTGAGAGAAGTCAACCCATGGTTTTCAACCTTCTGCAGAATGAAAGGGTCAACAAATCCACTGTTGAAAACCACTCTTTTCAGAGACAAAACAATCTCCAGAACTTGACCTTTCTTCACAGTTCCTATTTCTAACCCCATCATTTCACTGTTCTCATGTCCAAATTTTCCTACTTTAGCTGTAGAACATAATCAGGCTTCCGCAGGCAAATTTTTTTTTTTTTTGGCTTTTTTAGGTCATACCTGGTGATGCTCAGGGGTTACTCCTGGCTCTGCACTCAGGAATCACTCCTGGAAGTGCTCAGGGGACCATATGGGATGCTGGGAATCGAACTTGAGTCGAACGCCCTACCCACTATGCTATTGCTCCAGCCCCAAGGGCAAATTATTCTTAACACTAGCATGGAGGGCAGAGAAGAACATCCTCTGCTCCCATAACCTAACAACTACATTAAAACAAACCTCGTTCTTATTTTTTGCTGTGGCATCACATTCGCTGTTCTCAGGCTTCCGCAGGTGCTTCCATCGTCCTCCTTGGTCAAAAGTGATCATAGTCTGGATGGAATTATCTGAATGGGAAGAAAATGGCATTAAGCTTGACACACTGAGGCACACTATTAAATTCACGTTACCACTGCATCTCTTCTGAGACTATATAAAACATCATCATAGCTCTGTGGTCCCATAGGCTGGAAACAGCTGACAAAATGGCCCAGGGCTGATGAGAAACTGAGCAACACTCTAAATACGAGATTTGAAAAGGGTTTTCCTGGGGGTATGGTGCTGCCTGCAGGTCAATCTGTACCTGTGAGGCGAGTGCATCAGCAGCCTGATGGCGCCTTCAGACTTCCAGATACCCCAAAATTGCTGCCGTGCCTTTGGCCAGACCCCAAAAATTTGGGGCAAAGTTTACCAAGAAAGTAAACGGCCAAAAGTTAGGTATGTGGGAAACACACCCACAAACCACCTCCGGCTCAGCTATATAATTGGAGGCAAGGCCTCTTTGGTTCCTGATTGGACTGCTTAATGGCCGTGATCCCAGAGACTCAGAAACAAATCTCGGAACCCAGCAGCTTTTGACAGAAATGCGTCTGGTCCCTGCAGTAGGTTACCGGTGCTGGGCCAACCCAGGTGGGAATAGGTTTCGTGCCTTGGCCTGTTCCCCCAGGCAGCCTAGTGGCCACAATCCTCCAGAGGCCACTGGACAGTCCGGTTTGGGCCTGCAGTGACGAATCAGGCAGGGCCTCATGGGGTGAAGGTGGAGCTGGTTCCTGTCCTCCGAGACCCCAAGGCATTGCCCACGAATGGTCTCGCTGGCTCCTGATCAAGCTGTTTAACGGCCATGATCCCAGAGACTCAGAAACAAATCTCGAAACCCAGTGGCTTTTGGCAGAAATGCGTCCGGACCACGCAGTCGGTTACTGTCGCCAGGCCACCCCAGGGAGGAAAGGGTGTTGTCCCTCTGCCTGCTTCCCCCTGGCGGCTCAGTGGCCGTCATCCTCCAGAGGCCATTGGACAGTCAGGTTTAGGTCCGCAGTGACGAGACATTTTGGGCCTCACGGGATGCGGGTGGAGCTGGTCCTGTCCTCCCCACCCCAATGAGACCCCAAGTCACTGCCCACGAATGGCTTTTCTGGCTCCTGATCAAGCTGCTTAACGGCCATGATCCCAGAGACTCAGGAGCAAACCTCGGAACCCAGTAGGTTTTGGCAGAAATCCCTCCAGATTTAAGTGTTAAAATTTTGGAATTTCAAAATCGTGTGGCCACTACTGCAGCCACGTGACATCATATGTTATTCATAACCAGCAATAGAAAACAAATTGTCTACTGTTGCCTTTTCAGCAGATCTGAGTGTTGGGGTAAAATCTCAAATAATAATGGTGGGTCTGGTGTCAAAATATTGAATGTGATCAAAGTAGAGAGAGAGTAATGTGGAAATGATCTGCCCTACAGGTAGGGGGAGGGTGTGGGATGGGGGTATAGTGGGGGTTTTGGTGGTGGAGAATGGGCACTGGTGAAGGTACGGGTGTTTCATTGTATGACCGAGACTTAGACCTGAAAGTTTTGTAACTGTTCTCATGGTGATTCAGTAAATAAAATTATAAAAAATTTAAAAAAAAGTAAGATGGAGTTCATGCACAATTCAATCAGCTAATCAGTGGCTGAATAAATAGCAGTAATGCTACATTAAAAATAATAAAAAGGGTTTTCCACCAGAACAGGCCAACCAAATCCAGAAACCATCAGACTGATACTCTTAAAAGAAATGGCCTTTTTATTATCTCCAATAGGCTGATGTTCTCTCCCCTTCCTTGCTTGCTGGCCTTTGAAGTAAAATCTACCATGGGAAGGTGCTCCAATCTTACCTCAAACACTGGCCATGAGATTGTCTTAGGAAATCTGAGTAGTAGTGAGTGAGTATGAATTAATAATTCCCAAGTTTTCTCTCTCCCCTGCCCAATATCCAATTCGTATAGCTGGCTCTTCTTCCTCCTCTCTTCCCCATTCCCTGTTTTCAGTTACAGAATTATTCATTTTTTGCTTTTTAGGTCACATCCAGTGATGCTAAGGGGCTACTCCTGGCTTGGTGCTCAGGGATCACTCTTCGTGGTCTTTGGGAGAACATACTTGGTACTAGGAATCCAAGGTTGGCTGGATGAAATGCAAGTGCTTTAAGCCCTATTGTTAGAGGTTTCAATTCAGAGGAAAATGTTTTCAGTTTTCTGAGGGCAATAACAAAGCAAATGAAGGAAAACTTATTCAGAACTGGTCAAACACCCATTAAGTGAAAAGTATGGCAAGTTTTTAGGAAGACATCAGTAAACAAAACACAAAAACCTATGAAAAGAACATTCTAGTAGAGTGCGACAAACACCAAACGCTGCAAAGAGTAATTTAGTAAATACATACATTAGTATAGAAACTCTATGGGAAAAAAAGATGCACAGCAATGGGGACTGAAGTGTGTATCTATGAGTGGGAGAAATTTACAATATGATGTCATCACAGATATCATCCACAAAGCAATAACTAAACAGGCGCTGAAAGGAGGAAGGGATTAGCCTTGGAAAGAGACAAGAATCAGGTCGGTGTCACCCTCAAAACCAACACTCTGCGAACCTGGTGTAAAAACTTCAGAGTGTTAGACAAATGGAGTGGAATGACGAAGGAAGAGAAGGGCTGGAGAGAAGCAGAGGGACGACAGGACCTTCTAATTCACTGCAAGATCTTCACGAAAGAACAATGTATGTCTCCTACCTTCTACCAAAGCATAAATACACAAGTGAAACAAAAACCGAAAAGAGTCTTTGGACTTGAGAGGAACATGCTTGTGCCACAGGGCCTGAGTGAAGATGAGCTTTGTAGAACCACTGATACAAGGAGAATCTTAGCGGACTCTCGCTATGCCCTCTACTAGGAGGAAGCTACAGGCCAGTCAGCCAGGCTCACTCTAATCAGAATACATTTCCTTGTCCAGAAGACTCATTTGATAAATGAATGGCATGCAAAACTCCTGCAACAGAAAGATTTCTATCTACAGTTACTTTACCCTGTTCCATTTACCATAACTTATTTAAAGCAGTGAAAAGCTCTTGAGTAAGCAAACAGGGAATGCTGGAGGATGGAGTCCACACTGTCCCCGACTGCTTCGACTCCCGGCATGCTCGGGAAGGCTTGGTGTGGGGAACGCACCTTCGGAGAGCACGCTTGTTATGTAGACCCCACGAAGGGAAGTCACGTTGGTAAAGTCCGTCTCTCCACCTGTGGTGGTGTAGAGATGCCGGTCCAGTGACTTGGAATAGACAATCCCTCGGTCATCAGAAGTGAAGATTGTGCCGTATCCGGTGTCTGAAACAGGCAAACAAAGGCACTAAGTTTCCGGAGGGAACAGGGAGCCAAGCAGTCGCCTAACCAACCACAGGCATGGCTGACTGACAGCTCACAGCAGCCAACTATTCTCTTCACGATGGAGCCTCAAACCTGAGATTTAACTGAAGCTTGAAGTGCAACTTTTTAACTCGAGTATCTAGTTTAAAGCCTGGGATGCCAAATTTGTTAAGTGAATAAATGAGATGCTACAGAAAAGCTGTTTTCTGGTGGCAGACGAACTGTATTTATATTTATAACTCAGGGCCAGGGAGACAGTTCAGTGGACTGGAGCACATGCTGAGGCATGAGTTTGACAACCAATGCCACATGGTACCCCAAGAACAGCTGGGAGTGACCCCAAAAGCAAAAAAATTTTTAAATTAGATATATACTTATCTATATAAGTCTTCATACTCTAGGACAATACTTCTCAGACTAAATGTAGCACTGCAGCACTATAGCACTGTCCTCCCACTTTCACCAATTTGCTCAAGCGGGCACCAGTAACATCTCAGAACAAATTGTGAGACTTGTTGTTATTGTTTTTGGCATATCAAATGCATCACAGGTAGCTTGTCAGGCTTTGCTGTGCGGGTGAGATACTCTCAGTAGCTTTCCGGGCTCTCTGAGAGGGGCAGAGGAATCAAACCCAGGTCAGCTGCGTGCAAGGCAAACGCCCTACCTGCTGTGCTATTGCTCCAGCCCAGACTAAATGTAGTAAAGAAATATTTTAAGTGTCCAATATATCCAAAGCAATATTTTTGCAAAATATAATAAAAATTAATTACTATAGAAACAGATTAATCACTATAAAAACAGACAAAACACAATCCACTGGATAGAAAATTTTCTATCATTCAATTGAACAGACATAAAATTACTTTATTAAATGACTATAAGAGCTTCTATACTCTCAATTTCTGTGTTTGCAAGGTAACATATCATCAGCCCTATGAACACACCAACTATATTAGTGTGTCAAAATTTTTTAGAAGCAGCCTTTTTATTAGAGGCTATGTATTAATTATATCTAGAACAATATTCAGTAGAATAGCAGTAAATTCTTAAAAGTAGGAGGGGAAAAATGTAGGAAAGCAAACTACTCCAAGTAGGGCTCAAAGCTTAGATCACTGCATTTCAGAATATGCCACTAAGGCCACTGACCTCCAGGTTCATCTACGTGCATGAACACCATGTCATCGTTGGCTGCCAGAATAGAATAGAATTGCTCTTGCCCCACAGAAGGAAGCTGGGCCATGCTCCATGTGGTCCCATGGTCTGTTGACACATGAATCCTTCTTGTGGTATCCTGAAACAAACAGCAGCACGATGCCAAGTGTGAGGACACGAGTAGAAACAACTTTCATTGAGAATTACAAATAGCACTGAGCATTTCCCCACTGGGCACACCAGTCACAAATGAAAGGTTCAGTATCAACGACCAAAGCAATTTCTAACCTCCAGCAAAGTCTGAGAAAATGCCACCATCCATTCTATTTTAAGAAATGCTCTCCCGGCTTTCACTCCCACAGGCCCCAGAAGATATCACCCTCCCAGCTTTTGGTCTTTGTGCATGTGTTTTTTTGTTTGTTTGTGAGCCATACTTGGCAATGCTCAGGGTTTATTCCTAACTTTGCACTCAGAAATTACTCTGGCAGTGCGCAGTGGGGACCGTATGGGATGCCGGAGATCAAACCTTGGCTGGCCACGTGCAAGATAACCTCCTACCCACTGCACTGCTGCTCATGCCCACTATCCTCCCAGTTTCTGACACCCCAATTTCCTACAGTAGAACTAAGGGTCTGATCATTAGCTTGCCTTTATATAGGCATATTCATACCTATGCTGGTTGGTTCAGGTACTTCTTGAAACAATGACTGCTGCAAGAAAGTTTCGTCCCATAAAGACAATTCTGGCAAATTTCTCCAAATCATATAATTAAAGGGAAAGGTCTAAAAAAATAGAAATATAACCCATGCTTGGGTAGTCACAAGGGAAGTCAAGATGTTGCTCATCTCTAAAGATGTCTCTGCAAACAATGATAGTGACTGGATCAGGAGCAGGCTGGGCAGAAGCCAGGGAGAGGCAGAAATTAATATTTTAATTTTAATTAAAGGAGCTTGTGCAGTATTTCATTGTTACGGAGGCAATTAACAGCTACCTTTTGACAAATAATTTAAAAGAGATCCTGGAAAGGGTCTGGGGTGGTGACTCAAGGGGCTGGAGAACGTGCTCTGCATGCAGAAACTCCAGGACCATGCAGTGCCCAGAGAAGCCCCTGAGCATGGTGACTGGCGGCCCCAAACAAAAAATACAAATAAATAAAAGAGTCAGTGGGACACAGCAAGAGCATGAGAAATGGTTCTAGCTTCCTTGTGTTAAAGACTCTTTCAAGTTTAAAGTACGTTTAATGTTTTATCTATTTTAAAGTAACTCCAAGTAAACCTGCATGTTTACTTTGAATGTTACTGTTACAGGGAGAAACTGGAGTTTTCACATTGTAGATAGCAGCACTGGAGATAGGAGACTATTTCTGGAATCCACTGATTTCCACTCACCAGGCGACCCTAGGCAATTACTTATACAATTTGAGATAACGGTATTAACTTCTTTAGGGCTTGGGGGAGGATTAGCACAAAATCCTTGGGACAGTTTACCTGGAGTGATTGTATCTACTTCCCCATCTCCGATTCTCTCCAATCCTCTCTAGTCAGTGCCTTAAGCTCAGTAACTTATCAAAACTGCGCCCAGCAAAGTCATCAACAACTTCCCCTTTGCCAAACCCAGTGGGTAATCTCAGAATGTCTTAAACGCAACCTTTCAGTAGACCGTGACTTCCGTGATCCCATCTTCCTTCCTCCTTGGTCCATAGGCTCTCACCACCCCACACTTCCTCCATGTAGCCCCTGCTGCTGGTGTCTCATCTCTCCAACCTCTAGGTGCGGGGCCCTTTCAGGCCCACGCAGGCCTCCCACCTCCTCGCTATCTACTCATTCCTCCAGAAGGTATCATCCAGTCACCTGCTCTAAATGACAATTTTAGGAAGACTCATATACCCAAATGCTTGACATTTCCACTCAGATGTCTGTGAGGCACCTCATAGCCAAAGTCTGAATTCCTGATTTTCCTCCCACAGACTGGCTTCCCCTGCTGTCTTTGCCATCACTGTAGATTCAGTCGTCCAAGGGTTCAGCCAGAAGACTCTTTAATTACCCGGTCTCTCCCCCACTCTCGAAATCCACATCTATTCCATCAACAAATCCTGCTGGCAATGTATTAGAGCCATATCCACTTCCCAGTCCCCTCAGCTGACCAACCGCCTTTCCTACTGTTGAGCAGCCTCCCAGCTGTTCCAGCAGCTTCCTCCATCCCTGCACGGAAGGCTATTGTGTGAACACCTTAGCCATGGAAAAAAATGAAGCAAATCCTACTACACTGGCCAAGCACCAAGCCCTTCTTCAAGCCAGGGTCAGTTCAGGCCTCTATGATCTGACACGGCCAGGATAGTAAACTCTCACCCTGTCAGACTTCCCAGTCCCTTCAAACCACCCTACCTGAATATGCACATTCAATTCCTGTCACTTCTACTTCCTACTCTGACTCAGGTCTCTTCTGAGTGTCAGCCTTTCCGTGACATTACTATGGAGTATTAGTTTCAGATTTGTTTCCTACTGGAATATAAACTTCAAGAGTGGGATGTTTTTTGGTTTTGCACATGGTGGCATTCCCGGGACTTAAGACTGGGGCCTGGTACATAGCAGACATGCTCTCACTATAATCTATTCCAACTATTAAAGTGGCCAACGAGCAGGTATCCACAGGTGAGCAAAGCCCCCAATATGGGGTCTCCAGACTCTGAAGTAGATGCCAAAATTCACGCTGTAGCAACAAGTCTCAACACAGAGTACAGCCTGGAGGAATCAGTCTCAGAAAAATAATCACTCCCTGACCCCACAGACATTTTGAATACTTCAACAAGGCAGTACTGGTACTGACAGGGAGCACAGTCAGGCACATTATGGAAACATCGGAATCTCGAGAGAAAAGGCAAAGACCCACCTTGGCCATCACTGAGGCAAAAAGGAAACGTCCCCCAAGACCAAATGAGTAGATTTTCACACCAATGGTTTTGAAGCTTTTCCCCAAGTCTAAAGTTCTCCATAATTCCAGTGCACCAAGATCAGCTTCTTAAACAAAGCAAAATATGAATTAAAAACTCACTTATTGGCAAGCCTCTGTTAAAAACAAACCTTTTGGAGCTGCCCCTAGTTTCATAGCTAAGGCCCTTTTAGCTATGAGGGTTCATTCACATTGGGCTTCATTTTACCTTTATTTTTTACATATTTTTAAAATTTATTTTTGGATTTTAGGCCAGGACTGGTGATGCTCAGGACTGATTCTGTGCTCAGGGGTCACTCCTGACAGGGCTCGGGGTACCATACAGGGTGCTGGGGAGGGAATCTGGGTCTGCTGCCCGCTGTACTATCCCTGGACTTCATTTTATAAATGTAAGGTTTTGCACTGAACAGATAGCACTAATTCCAATGAAGTGTTGCCTAAAAATGACTCAGGTGTACCATCCTTCTTTACCTTCTTCATGTTTAAAATTACTTTACTGTACTTTACCCTGTTTTGTTTCATTTGTTTGTTTCATTTGATCATCCAATATCCCATTCTGTGCACACTTAACTATTTAGATTTTAGGTTTCCTGAGAGCAGGCTTTAGGTGTCTGTCCTTAGAATTTCCATCCTCATGGGGCTGGAGCAATAGTACAATGGGTAGGGTGTCTGCCTTGCATGCAGCCGACCTGGATTCAATCCCCAGCATCCAACATGGTCCCCCCGAGCACTATCAGGAGTGATTACTAAGTATACAGTTGAATGAATGGATAAATAAAACTAATTCTTTAAATAAAATAAGATTTTGCTTTGTATTTTAAAAATATTCCCTTGTACAAATTCTAACATGACACAATCCATATTTTTCCCCTTAAAATAACTATATATTTTTATTTTTTGGGGGGGGTGGGAGCCATACTGGGAGGTTCTCAGGGTTTACATCTGGTTCTGTACTCAGGAATCACTCTTAGTGGTGCTCAGGGGACCATATGGGCTTCCTGAGATCGAACCTGGGTCAGGTACATACAAGGCAAGCACCTACCCGCTGGACTGAACTGACTCTCTGGCCCCTACATATCTCAATTTTTTAGTTGTTTGTAGTCTAGTGTTTACTTCACGTAAATACATTGTTGGGCTGGAGCAATAGCACAGCGATAGGGCGTTTGCCTTGTGCACAGCCAGCCTAGCCGAGCCAGGTTCGATTCCTCCGACCCTCTCGGAGAGCCCGGCAAGCTACCGAGAGTATCTTGCCCACACGGGAAAGCCTGGCAAGCTACCCATGACGTATTCAATATGCCAAAAACAGTAACAACAAGTCTCAAAATGGAGACGTTACTGGGCCCGCTCGAGCAAATACATTGTTAAAATTAAGTAGTCTGTTTCTGTATATAGCCTGCACTTTAATTTTATCTAGGCACAGTACGTATAGTAATTTGGTTCTACTTTCAAGATTAAAAACATCATTAACAGCTATCTTTAGCTATTAACATTATAGGAGCATGGGCTGGAGAGCCAGAACAAAGGTTAAGATGTCTGTTGTGCAAGTCGACCCTGGTTTGATCCCTGCTACCACATAAGGTCCCTGGAGCATCATCAGGGGTCACTCCTGAGCACAGAGTGAGGAATAGCCCCGAGCAGCACCAGGTGTGTTCTAACCCCACAAACCCCACATTACAGGAGTGGAGGCCAGGGAGAAACTGCCAAGAGCCAAGTGTGCACGCAGAGTTTGTACACGGGAGACCCCGGCTAGATTCTTGGCTCCACATGGCCCCCCGAGACTGTTGGGACTGAGTTCTGACAGTGCTGGGAGAGTCCAGCTGGGTGGTCAAAAACAAACAAAAACAAAATTCTAGGAACACAAAAGGACCTTTGACATTTCTACCTCAATCAGCCCAGTATATTCTACCACGAACAGATTAACAGGCTGCTTTTGTCTGTCACTAAGTATACTTACTGCAGGAGCCATTCGAAAAGGTGGTAAAGAAGATGATATTTCTTGGTCCCCTGCATTGAGGCAAAGACAGGGAAAAGACATGGTTCGAGATGGTTATTGGACTGTGTCAATCTTAGTCACAAAACTCCAAGCAAGTCTAACAAGCTTAGTGTCCAGAGGCAGTCGCTGGATCAACCTCCGGGACGCGAGTCACCTACTCCTGCACTGATGGCCTCAGCGGCCACAGTTTCCCACAGCCCAGCCCCAGGCCCTCCCCACCCATGAGTCCACCTCCACTTTATGGGAACCTTTCAACTGGCCAAACGGAGTTGCTCCAGTCCCTGGCTCTGCCTCTGGGTTTTGCTCAGACTATTTCCTTCTTAAAATGCTTTTCTCTCGTGGAACCAAATCTCAGTGTAAAACCCAGGTCTTCCGTGAAGCTTTCTCTGTTATTCCAACCACAAGAGCACTTTTTGCTACAGCCATCTGGCGTAGTGGCCGTGGGTCTCCGCCAGGGGCTTTTCATCCCCCGAGGAGCATCTGACAACATCTGGAGACATTTCTGGCTGGCACAACTGGGGGAGCTGTTGCTAAAATCTCAAGGGCGGAGGCCAGAGACATTGCTAAACACCCTAGAATGCCCGGCGCAGCTGTGAAGACAAAGGTGCCACAGCTGAGGAGAGTAGCCGTGACTCTGCAGAGCTGTGCCAACTCATGCCAGCCACCGGGCACGGCCAGGCCTACGGTCTAGTGACTTTAATTGTACAGTATTTGCCATATCTTGCCCACTAAACTATAGGTTTGCTTTAGGACAGGTATTATGTTTTATGCTTTGTTTTTCTCCCTCAGAGCCTAGTTTAATGCTTTGCGTGAGCTAAATAATTTAGCTTCTTTATCTCAAACAGGCAACTGGGTCAGAGGTTGAATTATTTAAATTCTGACTTGGAGAGGGAGTTTGCAGGAAGCCAGACTTGGAGCTTAAGAGTGCTGAGAAATCACCAACAGCAAAAGGTACTGGGTCTGTGCACAGCTCTTTAGAGCTTCAGATGGGGCCTTTCAGAATTATAGCTCTAAAGGTGAGTAAACAATTATCAGCAGCCCAGTGATCTTATATTTAAACACTGTACACACACAAATGAGCTACAAAAGCAAAAGAACATTGTAAAGAATATAAAAAATTACTCAGAAATATAGCTTTAAAGATGATTTTGTTGGCTTTTAAAAAAATGTGGTTTTAGTTTAACTGGTAAAACTCTTAAGATACATAAAGTGTTTAAGTTGTGATGGTTTGGTATACAGACGTAAAGTTATGTTTAGGACCACCAAAAGCGAAACAATTTGTTAACTAAGCCACTTTAAAAAGAACCTCTTCCTGATAATGCCACATAAGGTACAAAAACAATTTAAGTTCACAGAACAAAAGCAGGTGTGGTGTGGGTGCGAGTGTGGGGCTGCACAAACCTCATTTAAATCAGCGTCTTCTAGAAAAGGTCACTTGATTTAAGCGATTTTGTATATTTTAGTTAATTTGGTAAGATATATTTTAGGCATTGTCTTATAACTCACATTTCTCTGACTCGCTCAAGAGAGGACATTAGATTCCAAACTCTTCCTTGACATGCTGGGTTGCAGTCCCTGAATGCTAGCTCATGGAGCTGAAACACACCGTTCCCATTAGAGGTTACTGAGGTGTGCTCCTATCAGCCAGCCCGCCCTAGGATAGTGCTCTCCATTTCTGCCTGCTGGCCTGGACAGTCAGCCTGCATCCAGCTTGGGCAAGGAATCAGAGTCCAGCATGTGCTTCTCAGCACTCACAGCCCCTCTCTGGCAGCAAGCTGCCCTCTACCAGGAAACCAGAGGAACCGAACTTGTTCAAATTAGTCAAAGAGAAATCGCTAGAGGCTCAGAGCCTCATCAGAAGCTGAGAAGAATGAAAGCTCTTCACTCAAGTCTTACTCAACATCCCCACAAATTTCTAAAACAAATCACCTTTCACAGAAGGAAAAGAACTAAATCCCAGAGGGATTAAGCCACTGGCCAGCAGCAGAGCCAGGTGAGAACAAAGGAGCCTTGACTCCAGAGCCCCCTCCACCAAATCAACTTTAAATAGGTATGGGTTATGGGCCCCCCACCAGGAGACGTGAATTAATTTTGGTGCCGGTGTGGACGCTCTGGATACTGACCCCACAGTGGAGTGCTGGATACGGCACTCCACTCCCGTAACAGAAATGGATCTACAGGTGAGGGAGTAGAAACTGACACTGCACACAAGTCCCCAAACCAACACTGTATTTGATCTGTTCCAACTGTGTCAGTACTTAGAGAGAACCTTCCCTCTGCCGGGCACAGCTCCTCAATCTCCGGTCTGGTCTGAGCTTTTGATCCTAGCACTGAGTGGGTAAGTCCTCTCTCCCTGCATCTCCAGGTCAGGGGCTGTGTACGTGCTTGCTCACACACCCCTTAGGGCGCCCTGAAGAGTACTTGGCACACAGGAAGTGCTTGGTATTGATTCCTGTGACTTCTGGCAGCACTGTCAGGAAAGGTCTGGGGCTCTGCACGGATGGGGTCTTCTGTTACTCACCATTTGGCCAAACACACTGCTTTGTGGATTTCTTCCCATTTTCCCCCAAAATTCTTGGACACCCACAGGCCATTCTGAAAGATTATAAATGACTTATCAAAATTCCAGCTTTATCCTGTGCAGCTGCTTGCATGACCTTTAATAACTCATCTCCAGTCATTCAGGACAGTAAAAACACATACTGACGCTCCAACCAAGCTGCCGGAGCTCCACACACGCACATATGGTTTATGGGGCCCCTCGAGGGTCTGGGAAGCCCAAATAGCAAATGCTTCTGAAGTGTCTACTATGTGCCTGGCACCGGACCAGATATTCCACTGGGGATATGAAGATGAAGAAGACAAACACTCCCTGATCTCAAGAGGCAACTGGTGCACAAAAAAGAAACTTTGAGACCACGTGGTTAAGTGGGATGGAAACAGGCTCTGGTGTAAGAGAAGGGAGTGGAGGGAACACTGAATCCGAGACGGGTTGTCAGGAGGAGAGCAATGTAACCGAAAGATGGCAAATGAACAGATAAGACACTGTTGCACAGAGACCAGTACAGCGAAGGCAGAGGGTGATAGAATACTGCAGTGTGTGAGGGAGCTGAAAGTCTCCAGGTTCTGAGGAAGCACGGAGTCCAAGGCGAGAAGAGTTCATGCTGGAAGGTGGGGGTGGGGTGGGGGAGGGGAAGAGGTGGGAGGCCCAGCTCATGGAGAGGCAGTGTGGAATCTGGTCTCTACTTTAAAAGAGGCACTTGAGGAAAGAATGTCAAGCAGGGGAGTGACATAGTTTTACTTTTCTTGGTGGAGTATTTGTGTTACACTGGAAAAGGTGGATTTCAGGGGGTCCAAATTAGAAGCAGGAAAAGCAGTGAATAACTGCTCCCTTGGTTAAGAATCACCGAAGCTTGAGCCATAGCAATAGGACAGCGGGTAAGGGCATTTATGTGCCTTGCACATGGTTGACACGGCTTCAACCCCAGCATCCCATGTAGTGCCCCCAGAGGCCTGCCAGAAGTAATTCCTGATTGTTGAGCCAGGAGTAATTCCTGAGCATTGCTGGGTATGGCAAGAGAGAGAGGGAGAGAGACAGAGTGGGAGAGAGAGACAGAGACAGGGACAGAGAGAGAGAGAAAGAGGGGGTGGAGAGAGAGAGAGAGAGAGAGAGAGAGAGGAGAGAGGAGAGAGAGAGTTACTGAGGCTCTAAACCCTAACTTCTTCAATGGTGGATCACGTAAGAATTTCTCAGGACAGAAGGGGCCAGCAGTGGGGAAAGCCTGAGAGGCCCTGCTCTAAAGCATGGTCAGAAGGAATATGTTCAAGAAGAATTTAGAAGCATAATCATGATTCAGCAGAAGTGGAAGATTTCCTGTACAGAGTCGGGCAGGAGGAAAAGGGGAGGAGGGGGATGGAGAGAGAGAGACAGACAGACACCCACCACCAACAGATAAGACGCAATGTGGAAACTTTAGTGAATATTAAGGGGGAAATGGCAGGGAGAAGAGTGCAACAGTGAGTTTGAGACTGAGTCTGAGGCACCCGAGAGTAAAACAGAGCCACTGGGGGGTGGGGGGTGGGAGCTGTGAGAGGAATGTGGAGCCGTGGGGAAGCCGGGCCAGTGAGAGGGACTCAGGAAGCCGGGAGTGGACTTCATGGCTGGTACCTGGAATGGGAGGAGTGGAAGGGATGGCAGAGAGTGAAATAAGCAATGGGGATCTGGACAGGCAAGAGAGAAGCCAAGGGGAGGGCCAGGAAGGTGAGAGGGACCCCAGAAGCATGATGTCACAGCAGGCAAGCAAGTGAGGCTGCCAGGAAGGAGAGACTGGCCAACATTCGCAAATGCAGAAAAGACTGACAAAACAGAGACAGATGACATCAGTTACACTGGCAACACACTGGGCACACATGCTCCTGGGGCCTGCCAGACTCGGGGTGAGGAGAGCCCAGGTACCGCTGCTATGAACTGGAGCTGAGCTAGAGAGAACCCCCAGCGACCCCTCCCCTTGTCCCCTTTCCTCTTTCTCTCCTCTGCTATTGCTCATCTCCCAGCATTTCTCATCAAATAAATTCTACCTAAAAGACAGAAATGGGACTGGCATCACCAAAAGGAATCCATCTTCTCCATCACATTATCTGTACTTCAAGTTCCCCTTATTTGGAAGAAATTTCAGGAATAAAAGTAGCTCCTGCCTATATCTCCCTGAGGCTAGCTGGGCTGATGGGGGACGGGGGGTTAGCGTGGGGGACTCTCATCTCCCTGGAAGGGTCTTCAGTTCAAGCTGCTTGAGGCTGATTTCTTTGGAACCACTACTGAGGCCAGAAGCTTTCCGAGTGGGCAAATTTCCTTTTTCTGGCTCCTGTGGTCTCTCTGAATCAGTCCTTCAGCCTGACTCCGTCCATGCAGGCTCAGAGCCTTGACTTCTGGTGTCCATCGTCCTACCTAGGCTGCCCCTCTGTGCATCCCATCGTGTCGATAGGTCAGAACCCTGTGCTTGGTCCAGGACAGTCATAGAGCAACTGCACTCACCTTTCAGTATGAAGTGGAGGGCATGGTTTAAAGACACCGACCACCTTTCAACCAAAGGTCACTGACTCACTGCAGTCTGGATCAGGGTGCAAGAACACACATCTTACACCCATCACCTGGGAATTATCTGAGGCCGCTGATCAGTAGACCACCCTCGAAGAAATGGAATGAACAGGAGCCATAGAAAGGTAGTATAATTATAGTCATCACAGCCTGGCAACCCAGATGCCTGAATACTCATGATGACAGCCTTATCCTGCAGGAAAGGAAGGGCTGAATGAGCTCCCCAGGGGCCTTCCAGAAGACAAGAGGGAGAGTGAGGGAGGGGCACCGGCTTCCGGGATATGTCCTTGCATGTGGTAGGGTCTCTGGATAGTAACACAGAGTGGCAGAGACAGAAGTTAATATCCTAATATACTTTAAAAACTAACAACAACAAAAATCCTGGCCACAGGAAGGAATCATAACAACACTGGGAGCTTGGCAATTTTGGATTTTGTGCCCCACCCCCACCCCTGGGAGTTTGAAATTCATGCTTGTCCCTTGCAGGAGCAGAACGATCACATTGAACTGTTTTCGTTTGTTTGTTTGTTTGTTTTAGTTCATCATGCCAACAGCAAACATTTATCCACTATTAACAAGTGAACCGATAACAAGACACCATACTTTTCTAAAACAGACAGCAAGGAAACGTGTGCCCTTTACCAAACAGGGGGACACACTGCAAAAAGTGTGACTTCCTTTGACAGAAGTCACTAGAGAGCATCACGACAGAGTCCTCTGAAACAGTGTCTCCTGAGACGATAAAACTGGACTTACTTCAGTGCTGAGAGCTAAAAGATAGTCAGAATTCTCGGGACTGTACATCATCTGAGTGAGAGGATGGAAAGGAAGATTGATCTGAACAAAGTTCTTGGCAAAATCTGATGATCGGAAGATGCGGCCTCCTCGACTTCCTCCTGACACTTCTGCTGTCAAAATCACCTGATCAGGAAGAAGGGACTCAGAATCAGAAAAAATGTGGAAAGCACAGAAAGTTCTCACTCCATTTTCACCAGACACCAGTTAAGAACATTTTAGCTTTAACCTTCTTATAAAGAGGACTAAAGGGTTATAAATTTATACAGTGTTACAGTTATAAACACAGATTAGTTGGTTTGCCACGCTCAAGTATAGTCTCCCTGTTTTGTTTCGGGGTCACACCAGGCATTGTTCATTTGGAGTGCTGGGGATCAAACCCAGGCTATGTAGAAGATGAGCACTTTACCTGCTGTACTATCTCTGCACTATCTCTCCAGTCTTCTTAAGCACAGTATTTAAAACATTCTGAGTTGAGTTAGTGCCATACACCAATAAATCTGAGCACGGCCAATTTAAGATTACCCGGTTTCCCAAGACTGAAATATTGTCTTACTGAGCATACACTGGAACAAAGACACTAGAAAATTATGAGTTGGTGCATCTTGGACAGGAGCCAGAAAAAAAACAAAAAACAAAGGTGTGCTGAATTCATTATGCACTGAATTATTATATTTAATTTTAAAATGCAACATCAATAAGGCAAATATATTGCTGTGCATCACCATAATGGTGGGTCACCCCAACATTAGTGTCTAACAGCCCCGCCCTTGGTTGTCCAGTTCAGCTTTGCCTATGCTTAAATGCCTCTCACCTTCCCAGAGTTCTCAGGACCAATCGCCATGCCAAATTCTGTCCGAATGAAGGTGTTGTTGATCAGGTTTGTAATATCCTTGAAGTTCTTTCCATAGTCCTCACTGAAAGAGGAACACAGACAGAGAATACAGTGAATACAATGCTCATGGGTGCTTCTGGGCTCCTGCCCAGATCCCATTCCCCCCCCCCCCACCCCATGCACCCACATTCCTGAGACCATGCTTCTCCCCTTCCAAGGTCACCAGCCTCGAAGGAGCCATGTCCATCCTTAGCCCTGGTGGCGGCCTGACCAGCCTGAAGGAAATTCTGTAGTTTCACCTGGTAGAGGCTAAACGTCCTACAAAGCACAGGGCAGTTATCAACTTTCTAAATAATCTGACCCCAAATGCCAGCCATACCAATGTGATGAACCCCCAGCAGTGTCAGAGGTGAATGTAAAGCAATTCTGGCAGGAGCAGAGCTTGGGGATGAAGGAAGTGGGGAGCAAGGCTGAGGTGACTCTGGAATTCTAAAGAACAGAGCCTCGGACACTGGACTGAACTGACCCTGACACCTATCCCTCTGTACTTGAGTGATTTGAGTGATTAAATCTCTCACTTTAACTAGCTAGTTATCCTTTTGTGGCATGTGTGGAGTGGAGGAGGGGGTGCTCCCAAGCAGTGCTCAGGAGACCGGAGGCCATTCCTGGCAACACGCAGTCAGCTGGTGCAGAGGTCACGGCTCGGCCAGGCAGGCTGCAACTGGCAGGACATGGGGGCCACTCAGGCCCGTGAGTGGCTGCAGGGCGTGTGCCTCGGGGGCCTCTCTCCAGTCTGCTCCAGCTATTTTGATTTGGGATCTCTGCTGAATGTGGCCCCAAACCGAACAATTCTGTCAATGTGCAGCACTTCTGATACAGCTGGATGCGAAGGAGCAGAAATCTGCAAGTTTTCTCTTTCCAAGAGACTGCCGCCCCTTCAGAGCATTCAACCCACAAAACAAACTAGAAAAAAACAGATGCACTCTCAACTCTCAGACTGTCAAAGCTCTTCCTAAAAGTTCAAACAGTATCATTTAAAGGATTTCTTTTTTTTTTTTTTTGGGTGGTAGTTGGCGGCGGAGGGTGAGGTGGTGGTGGTGGTGGTGGGTGGGCAGGGTGGAGTTGGGGATTGGGGCCACACATGGCAATGCTCGGGGACCATATGGGATGCCAGGGATTGAACCTGGGTCGACCTCATGCAAGGTAAATGCCCTACCCTGCTGGACTATTTCTCCAGCCCCTGAAAGATTTTTTGATTCTTAAAAATGAAACAAAATAAATCACCAGTTATCTGACAGACTGAATATATCCTCTTAAACCATGATCTGTGAAAGAATCACAGAATCACTGAACATGAGAGATGCAGGAGACTGGGGAGAACACCGTGTTCAACGTTCTAATTTTACAGATGAGAAGGTAGAAGAAGGCAATTTATCAAAAGCCAACCAGTTAGTTAAGAGCAAAATTGGAACGACGATCTGCTTCTCTACCACTCAGCCCCAAATGAGAGCCAACTTTTATCTGTTTGTGAGATGTTTTCCTCTACCACCTCCAGTTCTTTCTTTTCTTTTTCTTTTTGCTTTTTGGGTCACACCTGGCGATGCTCAGGGGTTATTCCTGGCTCTACACTCAGGAATTACTCCTGGCAGTGCTCAGGGGGCCATATGGGATGCTGGGAATCGAACCCGGGTCGGCCGCGTGCAAGGCAAATGCCCTACCCACTGTACTATCACTCCAGCCCCCACCCCCAGTTCTTTCTTGATGTGCGTACAGCCTCCAGCCTAGGCTGGCTAAGTGGACATTGGACGCAAGAGGAGAGTGTTCTCAGTGTCACACAAGGTCCTGACAGCATGTGCTTTAGCATGTGGCTGTAATAAGTCTGAGCGATCCCAACTTTTACCATATACTCAGGGAAAAAAACTTAGATAAGCAGAAATTTAGTATGAGCCAATGCACTCCTATATTACTGATTCTTTGGCTTTGGATCAGTTCCTATTTTCCTGTCAGTGGGTCAAAGGATATGTATAAACAATTCCTAGTTCTACAGAGAACAAATAACAAACAGCTCAGACACCCATCAGAGGGGGTTTCCAGGGGCCTGATTATCACTAACTTGTCACTAACAGTCACCCCTTCCTCATGCCATCCCCAGGGACTCTCATAACCTACTGACAAAAATGTTTGCTTTTTAAGAAGTTGCCACAACAAACATCTCCCTGCCCTTCAAAAGAAGCAAACCCCCCCCCCCCCCCAAAATCAGCTAGAGTACCCTTGTTCCAGCACTTTCCGCTTGTTGAATGAACTGAGTGCAATGAACCTGCAGCAGTCTGTGGAAATTTAAGGCAGGTTCAGTGGGGAACTCTGGGGTCTGGGAACGCACCGTAATCTGACCCTCCATTTTCTATTCATCACAAGGCCCCCCAGCACGAAACAAACAGGTAAAGAGGGCATCAGTGAGACACCATGAAAAATACGCATGTCTTTCAAAGTCCATGTACTTAGGCTTATGAACAGCACAAATAGTAAGTTAATAAAACACAAGCCACCTGCTTTAGAAAGCCTTAATAATAATTCTAAACAACAGTCATAATGCATTACTCTCATTCAGAGGTCCCTGAAAATAAATGACCACCTCTGCTGGTATTCGTGATTGCATGTGCATATTGGTCTAGAGAAAATAGTGCTGAGACACAAATATTTTTGAAAGAATCTAATACCTCAAAAGAACAAGTGAAACTTAGATTACTGGTAATTTTCCATTATTAAATAAGTGGGGAAAGGAAGGAATCATTGCATGGTCTTTTGCTAATAAATAACCTCAAACTCCTGGTAAGAAAAGCCATTCAAATATGGGCTTCCAGAAAACTCACATACTGATATCATGCAAATGTCCACACAAAAAACAGACGTTTGTGAGACCAGAGAGGTAAGATAGAGGTTAAGATGCTTGCCTTAACAAGGCCCTCTGGGGTTTTATCCCAGCACATATATGATGCCCCAACACTGTCAGGAGTGGTCCCTGAGCACAGAGCCAGGAGTCTCTGAGCATGCTCCGCAGGGTGTGGACCACTCCACACACACGGAAATACCCACTTGCTTTTAAAGTTCCACATTTTTCACTTATAATATATGGGAACTTTGTGACACTGGGCTTCTTTTTGGTTTGGTTTTTGGTTTGGGGCACACTAGGTTGTGCTCAGGGCTTAGTCCTGGCACAGGGGTGGGGGGGCATTATATGGGGAACCATACACAGGTTGCTACACTCAGGCAAGCACCATACCCACTGAACTATGTCTCCATCATGACACTGCGCTTCTAACCTGGACAGGCAATGAGAAGTAACAACAAGAGTTCTACGATATCTCAAAAAAAATCTTACATTTTACTTTTCTCAACCATCAAACAAGCCCAGAGTATCCTTGCCTGGTTTGGTTATTTCTCTCTTTTTTGGGGGGGTGGGGAAGAGGGTTGGCAGCGGGAGCCATACATGGCCGTGCTCAGGGCTTACTTCTGGTTCGCACCCAGGCATCGCCTCTGGCAGGGCTCAGGGGACCATATGGGATGCCAGGGAGCAAACCCCGTCAGCCACATGCAAAGCAGGTGTTTTACCCACTTATACTGTCTCTGGTCTGTCATTTCTCCTATGTCTTTAACTCATGTTACAGGATTAGTCACTACAAAGTTCAACACGAAAGCCACAACAATGACAATAAGCTCAAAAAATAATTGTTTTGTAAATAATAGTTCAGAGGTTCTCAAAGAGAAACCGTTTCTAGAAAAAAATCACTCAGGGCCCACCTTCTTCAGGCAAACAGAAACAAACTGCTCCCCAATTGCACCTAAGGTTACAGGGGTGGGGCAGTATTACGCACCTTGAGAAATACTGATAGAGTTGATCCTCATTATTTACAGATTTCATACTTGCAAATTTGCTTACTCGCGCAAATGTATTTGCTTTTGTGGTTGGTGGTGGTGCTGATGTTTGGCTTTTAGCCACATCCAGCGATACTCAGGGGTCACTCCTGGTGGTGCTCAAGGGACCCATGTGGGATGCTGGGGACTGAACCCGGGGCAGCCACATACAAGGCAAATGTCTTCTCCGCTGTACTATTGCTCGGGTCCCTCACTCCAGGTATCTCTAACCTGAGTCGAATCAGCATTTTCACAGTCACTGACACGATGGCAGAAAACCGAGTTCCCCCACCCACAGGGCCCAGCTCGCACGTGGCCTGTGCCCATGGTTCTTCCATTCTATCTGATCGTTTCACACTTTTTTCTTTTGCTGGTGACTTTGCTGTGTGAAATAGTCCCTGTCACAGTACTAAAAAGCTGTTTGATGTCCCTAAGCAGAGGCTTTCATGTGCCTATGGAAAAAATACATGAGCTCTGGTAATCTTTGGAAGATGAGCTGGTTATGAGCTCAATGAATGATTGAATAATGTATTAAATGATGTTTTTAAACAGAAACACACATTAAATGGCAGAAATGAGTACTGTGACCAGAGGTTTGCAGGAAAATACTATGACCTTTTCTGGGAACAATGAATCAGTTTCACTCATTTTGTGTCCATGGGCATTTTGCAGAACATAAAGGACTTGAGAATGAAAATCGACTTTAGCTTTTCAGTTAAAGGATCAAAAGGTGGGATGTGGCTTATCAAACCAAAGGGTATAGAGCCAGGAATGATCCTTGAGCACTGCCAGGTGTGGCCCCAAACTTAAAAATAAAATAAAATAAAATAAAATGTGCCAAAGGAACCACAGAGCAAAAACTGCTACCAGATAAATTTACATTTAAACTTAAGTCTCTCTCTTTTTTAAACCCAACTATATAATGCACGTGTGTGTGTGTGTGTGTGTGTGTGTGTGTGTGTGTGTGTGTGTGTGTGAGCCATGCCCTGCAGTGCTCAGGGCTACTCCTGGAGAGAAGCTTGGAGGTCAATCCTAGGAGTGCTCCGGGGATCGTTTGGTGCTAGGGTTTGAACCTGGGCACGCAAAACACGCAGTAAGGCCCACTGAACTATCTCTCAAGTATAACTTCATGTGCTTACTTAGCTTTATTTTTTACATTTCAAAATATTT